ACCTTCTGGATGTCTCAGCTCTATAGTCAGTGTTCATTTGTCTGACTTGTTTAACTTAGCAAAATGCTTTCAAGTTCCGTCCATGTTGCAAATGGAAGGATTTCCTCCCTTTTTTTTAATAGGTGAATAATCTTCCATCGTTTTTTCCCACTTACCCATCGATGGACATTTAGTTCCATGTCTCGGCTATTGTAAATGATGCTATGGAGTACATAAGTGATGTAATGAATGTGGAACACATATATCTCTTTAAGATTATTTTGTTTCCTTTATATAGCTACTCAGAAGTGGATTTGCTGGGTCATGTGGTAGTTACATTTTTAATTTTTTGAGGACCCTGCATACTCTTTTTTATAGTGATTGCCCCAGTTTGCATTCCCAACAATGCACAAGGTTCTTTTTTCTCCATATCCTTGCTAACACTCATTATCCCTTGTCTTTTGATGACAGTCTGCCTAATAGGTGATGTGGTTTTATTTGCATTTCCCTGTTGGCTAGTGATGTCAAGGATCTTTTCATATACCTGTTGGCCATTTGTATGTCTACACTAGAAATGTCTGTTGCCTAGTCCTCTGCCATTTTTAAAAAAATAAACCACTAATCTAGTCATCTTTCTCTAGATTTGCCTAATCTGGCTATTTCATGTAAATGGAATAACACAGTATGTGAAATTTGTATCTGACATCTTTTACTTAACAGAGTGTTTTCTTTTTTTACATGTGGGAGAATATAGAAGGACTTCCTTCTTTTTATGACTACATAATGTTGAATTATGTGGATATACTCCTTTTTATTTATTCCTTCATTGGCTAATGACCATTTGGGTTGTCTTTGCTTTTAGGCAATTATAAGAATTATAAGAATGTTGCAATAAATACTTCTCCAATTTATTGCACAATTTATTGTACAAACACATACTCTCAGTTCTCTTGGGTATGTACCCAAGAATTGGAGGATTGTTATGTCAGATGTTAAAGTTTAAGTGGTTTTGTAAGGAACTGCGGAATTATTTTTCCATAGTGCCTGTACTATTTTATATTCATGTCAATCTGGATAAATAATACATTTCTCCACATTCTGGCCAACACTTTTTAATTCTTATTATGTTTTTAAAAACTAAAGTCATACTGATATGAAGTGATGTGTATTTTTATTGAGGTATAATTGAGTATAAATTATATTAACTCCAGGTACACAACATATTTACATATATTTTGATCTAATAATTATAAGTCTAGTTAGTATTCTTTGAAAATATTCATGTCATTTTATGTCAAAATTTATTATCATTTTTAAAAATCATTTTGTTTGCTTGCTGTTGAGTTATATGAGTCCTTTATAGTTTTTTGGATACTAGCCCCTTACCGATATACAATTTACAAATACTTTTCTATTTTTATAAGTAGCCTTTTCATCAGAGTGATGGTTCCTTTTGATGTGCAGTTTTTTAGTTGATGTAGTCCACTTACTTGAGAAATTTGCGAAGAATTGACATTAATTATTTTGATGTTTGATAGACTTTATTAATGAAATCATCTATTTCTGGGCTTTTTGCTGGTAGGTTTTAATGTAATGATTCCCCCTTCTTACTAGTAATTGATCTACTGATATTGGTATTTCTTCATAATTTTGTCTTGAGTAATTATGTCTCTGTATATCTGTCTCTAAGAATTTATCCATTTCTTGGAGGTTGTCTAATTTGTTCATAGGAGTCTCTTAAGGTCCTTTTTATTTTTGTGGTATTATTTTAATGTCTCCTTTCTCATTTCCAATTTTACTTATTGGAAGTGTGAGTGCTTTCTATTTCCTCCTAGTAAGTTTAGCTGAAGATTTCATTCATGTTAAAAAAAAAAAATCTTAGTTTTATTTTTTCTTTTTTACCGATTTTTTTAAGTCTCTATTTCATTTATTCCTGTTTTGATATTTGTTGCTTATCTCCCTCTATTAAATTTGAGTTTATTTTTTTAAAAATAGTTATTTGAGGTTATTTATATGACATCTTTTTTCCCTTAATGTAGGTATTAATTATTGTGAATTAACTAGAACTGCTTTTACTACATCCCTTGCTTGTCTTAAGATATTTTCTGATTTCTCTTTTGACCTGTTGATTGTTCAGTAGTATGTTTTTTATGTCAACAAAAACTTTTCAATTTTTTTATTGTAATTATTTCCAGTTTTGTACCAGTGTGGTCAGAAAAGGTGCTTGATATCATTTCAGTCCTGTTAAATTTGTTGAGACTTTTGAGACTAACATATATGACCTATTCTGGAGAATATTCTGAGAAGAATGTACATCTCAGTGCAGTTGTATCTGATATAATGTTCAATTAAGACCAAAATTTACTTAATGATTTTCTGTCTAGAACATCTATCTGTTATTAAAGGTAGGATTTGAAGGTTCCCATCTATTATTCTATTTCTATATATGTCCTCCCTTTAGATCTGTTAATATTTGTTTTATTTACTTAGGTGCTCCTATGCTGAATGCATAGATCTTGTTATTTTCAATTGCTCTTTTAACCCACTGGTTGTTCAGTAGTATGTTTTTTAATGTTCACATATTATAAACTTTTCAATTTTGTTTTTGTAATTATTTCCAGTTTTGTACCAGTGTGCTTAGAAAAGATGTTTGATATCATTTCAGTCCTGTTAAATTTGTTGTTTCACACAATCTGTTTCACACAATCTTCTATTGTGTGAATGTGCCATGACTTCCTCCAGTGTCTTTCTAATAGAATAATCAATATAATAAAAAAAAAAGTTTTACACATGCTTGAAATAATTGAATGAATCAGAAGTATGCTGTCTTCATAGTTCATATTGCTTTCTTTAATGTCTTGTTTCTCCTTCCCCATAGGAGTTACTTGGAGTTGTTTAATACAGATCTTGCATTAGGTTTTGTTCTTTATTAAGTCATGTTCCAACTTTCAGAGATTTTGCCCACCAGAAGTAGATGCATGTGGATGTTTATGTCTATCCTGTACTTTCTGAAGATCTCATTGTGAGCAAAACATTCTTAGTTGTTAGTGTGAATTTTAAGACAGTGTAATTAGTTTTTTCAAGATTTCTGTCATTTTTCTAATTGTTAAGTACCACATAAGTCTAGAATAGCTTTCCTTATACTTCTTGCTCATTAACTCTTCTGAGAAAATAAACTAATATCATCAATAATCTATTGAATATATATGAAAATTGTGTATAAGTAACCCTATTTAAATTATAATTATCTTACTCAAATCTAACTTTATGTAAGAAAAGGGCAAAATAGTAGATGATGTATGACAATGTTAAAAATTTATTGTATTTGCTGCTGGGATCATTGATGATTAATTTTCTCATTTTTCTCTGAGTCCCATTGTAAATAATTAGTAATAAAACTTTTCTAAATTATTATGTGTAATTTTTCTAACATGTACAAACACACAGAGTCATCAGAAACTCTCCATTATGCTCCAAAATGTACAAACACAAGTGGTATTATCAAATCTGGACAACATTTCCTCAGAATTTTTCTGGCTACACTCTATAAAGACCTGATTTTTGAGAAGAATAGTTGGGTCCTCTAGAAATAGACCAAAGATATTTTTAAAGATTGAGATGTGAAATCTGCATTACAGTTGTGCTATGTAGAGAAAAGTTCTTGAATAGGGAAAAGAATATAATTGTGAGTGGAGGGTTGTTTATGCCTACAGGGCATTGGTGCTAAAATCAGTGACTTCATGGGGCTCTCACATATAGGTTGTAAAACCTAGAGTGAAGGGAATTTAACAAATTCTCATTGGACATTCCTTTGCATTTATAGAGGTAAAAATTAGTTTCTATACAAAAGACCATTTACATTTCAAAAGACCATGATTCCTGCGGTTATGGGTAAATTTCCCATATTTTACATACAACTTTTTTCTGGATTCAGACATGAGAATTTTATGTCACTGCTTCTAAATATGCTGTGTAGTAACTTGATAGCTCTGCTATCTACTAGGAGTCTCTTTGGTACTACAGAAATAGAGTGGGTAGAGCAGTTTTGAAAACTGGAAGATTTTTTCATCCATGACAGAGAACCTAGACTTAGGAGTCAGCTAGATCTTGTTTCCAATTCTGGATGTACAACATATTAGCAGTATGACATTAGGTACATCATTTAACACTTTTAAAGACCCATTTTCTTTCAGGTCTGATTTTGAGAGTCGGACAAGATGTTACATATATAAACATTGACCAGGCCCTAACATAATAAGTGGGGGTAGTATGAGTATCAACAACACTACTATTATTTAATGCATTTGATTTTGTGTACTTTCTCATCTCCAGTGTCCATCTGGATTATACTTTTTCTGTAGAGCTTTAGGAAACTAAATCAAATTATGCTTCCCTGTTGTTTTACCTTATTTTACCTTATGGACTCTGTGTGGGCAGAATGACTCAAACAACAGAGTGGTCATTTAACAGAAATCCCACTAAGTTCCAGCATAGCTTTGATGTTTTTGATCAGGAACCATCTTTAGGAGCATATTCATAATTATGGCTAAAGAAAAAAAGGCTAATGCTAAAATGTGGGTAAAGCTTGAAGTTACTGTAGCATTTTAAAAAATTTTAAAAAATGTTTTAGAAGTTATCTGTAAACCATGAACAGTATCAGTTGCATGTAAATAGACAAGGGACATAAAGAGACTCCCCTTGCAGCTTGTAAAAGCAGTATTTATGGGCCAGTTCCATTTCTCATCTGAAAAAAGAATTACACCATGACAAACCTTTCCTAGTAATAGAAGCCAAGGCAATGTTTGGATCTACCACTCAGTTAGAGCCCGTTGGAACCTCTGAGGAAAAAATGGTCCTAGGAACAGCATTATTTAAACTGTGCCTGGCACATAGTAGGGCTTCAAGTTCTGTTGCTAAATGGATGAACAAATGGATAGATGGGTGGAAGGCTGGCTGAATGACTGGATGTGCCTGCATGAGGAAGTAACTCAGTGATGTCTTTCTTTGTTTTTTGACTTCAGAGGCACCAGAAACCGTTCAGCCAGGAGCCACGGCTCAGCCTGCTAGCTCACATTCATTGCCACACATTAAGCAGCAGCTGCGGAATGAAGACTGCTACCATGGCAAACTGAGCAGGAAGGCAGCAGAGAGCCTCTTGGTAAAGGATGGGGATTTTTTGGTTCGAGAAAGTGCAACATCTCCTGGCCAATATGTGTTGAGTGGACTACAGGGAGGCCAGGCAAAACATCTTCTCCTGGTGGATCCTGAAGGCAAGGTATCATTAACTCCTCATTACTGTCTTCACAGGGTGTTGCAACAAGGCTACTCTGAATGGTAGATTCAAAACCTGATATTGAAGAGTCTTAATGAATAAGAGTTCATTATATATTTTTTATTCTCCAGCAGAAGCAGGAAATGCCAAACAGAGAGTAGTGGAAGGGTTTGAGTAGGAACCAACCTAGAGGTTCAAGTAGAGGACACTGTCTTTCTGTACAGTTCAATTCAATGAATTAAATGAACATTCACTACAGGAAGTATTAATTATTACCCAGCATCACATGCATGGCCCCTGGTTCTTAAAGTGTATATAATTCCATCAAACAGATGTAAATAATAATAACATAAGGATGAATGACAAGAATGGTTCAGCCAAAGCATTCTGGTGTTTGTTAGCACAGAGGAATGCTTGGCTTGACACAAACTGCAATGACATCTTGCAGAGTCTGACAAGTCAGATGAACCTTGAATGAGAGAGAATTTTATAATGGGTACCTCTCTCTGGGACAGTGAGACAGAAACACAGGAGCAGAGAGAGCAATAGAAGGGTATTGAGCCAATAAAGATGTCAAGAGCAGAAGTTGCCTGTGAACAGAAATGCTCCTGGCCGGTAAGTGGTGAGGTGGGAACCAGGACCTAACTGCCTCCTGTCAGACAGGGAAGATACAGTGGCAGGTTTTAAAAAGGGGGTGATGTAATTAATCCATGTAAACAATGGATAGATGTAAATAATTATCAATATGATAGAATAGAAGGTCTCAGCCCTCATTCCTCTACCCAAATACTGACTTAACCATGATATATAAATCAAAACATCTTGATGAGAATTCCAGAATCTAGTTAAGAACCTGCAGTATCCAGGTGAACACAGAGTTGAAAATAGCCACATTGAAACAGGAAAGAAGAGCGATTTTACTTTTTTCAAGCCAGTCCCTCTCTCAAGTTGGTACTGCTCAGTGCCAGGAAAAGAACACCTGGGTTTATGACTTTCTTCTCTTCGGTGGGAAAAAGAGAAGTGCATGTGTTCAGTTTTCCATTGTTTCGTGGTGTTGTGTTTTTTTTGTTGTTGTTGTTGTTTTTTGTTTTGTTTTGTTTTTGAGGACTGCTGAGATGCTGGCTTCTGTTTGGTCTTTCAAGGCTCATTGATGAAATCATTATAGCTTGACTGCTTGGGGGCCACTGAAAACAAGAGCTGGGTGTGACTTATTGTAGTGGTGTGGCTTGGCTTGATCAGGAAAAGATGCTTTTCCTTATATAAGGAGAGAGAAGATCTAGAAAATGAATCTGCAGCCCTTTTCAGAGGGCTGCCCAAGACTGGTATCTACCTCTGTCTCTCTGCACTGACAAAGAACCAGCATACCTTAGATGCTTGTGGACACTGGGAATAGACTAGTCAGGCAACTTCCAGTTGCTCTAGAAAGCCTGCAGTATGCTGACAGACACCAGAGGGAGCAAGAGATTACAGGCTCTTGGGGAAAAACAGTGGCAGGCTTTGTAATTGAGAAATTGTAATACAAGTTCAGAGAAGCTGCGTTCTCCCCCAGTTAGAGCCCAGAATCTCTAGCCAGACTGATTGGTTATCATTTATAAAGTCAAATGCACAATCTGATCTAAAGAAATGAAGATATACAAATTATCTTACACAGAATTAAAAATGAAATGAAAATATCAACAAAGAATAAATATAAAGAATATACATAAGAAATTTTGGAGCTGAAGAATGCAATCATTGAACTGAAAAATTTAATAGAGGAGTTCAACAAAGTTAGTCGAGTAGAAGAAAGAATCAACAAAGTTGAAGACATGTTGTACGTATTTATCCAGACAGAGAACAAAAAGGAGAAAAAAAAAATGACAGAATGAAAGAGTGGAGAAGGCCTCTGGGACTTATCAAGTGTCATCAAACAGAACAATATGTATTATGAGAATCCCAGAAGGAGAATACACATTCTTCTCAAGCATACTCAGAACATTAACATTAGATCACAAATCATAAGATATATTACATATTAGGTCATAAAACAAGTCTTAACAATTTAAGACTTGAAATCATACCAAGTGTCTTTTCTGATCACAATGGAATGAAACAAGAAATTGATGATAGAAAGAAAACTGGAAAATTCACAAATATGGACACTGATAGCATCCTCTTTTATTTCTTGTTGAGCTAAGATTTTCAGGTATATAATTTTTCACTGCAGCAGCTATATATGTCATACTACACCCACCACCAAATACCTTGTTATCACCATTAAACTATTGGTCATCTCTATTTATACCAGCCACTCTGCTCCTCCTCTGGTAACCACCATTTTATTATCAGAGTCTAAGGGTTTTTTTTTTTTTTTTGCTTTCGTTTTGTGTGGTCATTTGCTGTTGTTTTGTTATATTCCACAAACAAGCAGAATCATATCTTTCTCCTTCTGACTTTTCATTTAGCATAATACCCTCCAAGTCCATTCATATTGTCACGAAAGGGGAAGATTTCATCTTTTTAATGGCTGAATACTATTCCAGTGTGTCTGTGCCATGCTTTCTTTATTGCTTTTGGGTACTTTGGTTGTTTCCATATCGTGGCTATAGTGCTGCAATGAACAAAGGGATTTGTATATCTGTTTGAATCAGTGTTTACATATTCTTTAGGTAAATAGCCAAAGTGTAATTATTAGGTTAGGTGGTAGTTCTATTTTTAATTTTTTGAGGAACTACCATATTGTTTTCTGTAGTGGTTGAACCAATTTATATTTCAACCACAGTTGTCCTTTTCTCCACATTTTTACCGACACTTATTTTTTCTTGCTTTTTGATAATAGCCACTCTTACTACTGTGGAATCTCCTTGGAGCTTCAAGTTATACCACTCTAATTATGAGCAATGTAGAACATCTTTTCATGTCATTTTTACCATCTGTATGTATTATCATTGATGAAATGTCTATTTAGGTTTCTGTCTATTCTTGTTGGTTTAAATGAGTTGTTTGTATATTTTGGATGGATATTAACCCTTTGTGTTTATATATGGCTTGTAAATACCTCTTCTGTTTAGTAGACTGCCTTTCTGTTTTAATGATGTTTTATTTTACTGTGCAAAAGCTTCACCTTATTGTTTTCCCATTTGTTTATATCCTCTTATATTTCTCTTGCTGAAACAACAAACTCTTGGTCAACCAACAAGTCAAAGAAAAACTCAAGGGAGAAATTAGAAAATATCTAGAGACAAATAAAAATGAAAATAGTATTGCAAACCTATGGGATGCAGCAAAAGCAAAAGGAGAAAGTTGGGAGCAAGGAGGAGCATTGTGGAATGTGGTGAAGGACTGTGAACACTTTGGTAATGGGCAAACTAGGTAACTGCACATGAGGGGAGAAATCCTACATTGTGGATTGTGGAAAATTAAATAAGGATGTCTAACAACAATAGAAGGTTGATAATGTAGTGCCTACATTGCAAGTTAATGAAGATCTCAAATAGCCAACCTAATTTTACATCTCAACGAACTGTATAAAGAAGAAAAAATTAAGCACAAAATTAAAAGAATGAGATGATTAAGATTAGAATAGAAACAAATGAAAATAGCAAAACAAAGGAAAATTCACAAAAACTGTAAGTAGTCTTTTTTAAAAGATAAAAATTGACAAACTTCTGGTTAAGTTAGATAAAAAAAAACAAGAGGGAAGACTAAGTAAAATTGGGAATGAAAGACTAGTCAAGCCATAGAAATTAAAAAATGATAAGTGATTACCAAGAACAACTACATGCCAATAACAGATTAGCTACCCTAGAACAACACATGAATTCCTAAAGATATTTACCTAACATGACTTAATAATAAAAAAATAAAAAATCTGAACAGATGAATAACTGGCAAGCAGATAGAATCAGTAATCAGAAACTTCTGATAAAGAAAAGCTCAGAAACAGATGTGGTCACTGATGAATGCTACCAAACATTTAAAGAAGGGTTATTGCCAATGCTTCTTCAACTTTTCCAAAAAAAGCAAAGAAGAAATACTTCCAAAGTCATTTTACAAGGCAAGTATTACTCTGATATTAAAACCAGAAAAGACACCTTAAGAAAACTGCAGACCGTTGTACCTCTTAAACATAGATGCAAAAATCCTTTAAAAATGCTAGCAAATAAAATTGAACAGTACATTACAAGTATCATCCACCATGGCCAAGTGGGATTTATCCTTGGAATGGTTTGACATATATAAAAAAAAATCAATGTAATATATCACATGAACAAATAAAGGGTTATAATTAGTGATCATCTCAATAGCTGAAAAAATATTTGACAAAATTCAACACCCTTTCATAATTAAAAAGCAACACGCAACAAACTAAAAATGAAAGAAACTACCTCATCATTTTAAAGCTATCCATGAAAATCTCACAGCTACTACCATACTCAGTGAAAAACTGAAAACATTTCCTCTAAGATCAGGAATAAAAAAAAAAGTGCTTACTCTCACCATTTCTGTTGAACTTCATGCTGGATCTAACTAGAGCATTTGACAAGAGAAAGAAATGCATGGCATCCAAATCAGAAAGGCAGATGTAAAACAATCTCTGTTAATAGGTGGCATGATTTTATATATAGGACAATCCTAAATGTTCCACACCAAGACAAAGCAAGCCTGTTGAAACTAGTATGCGGATTCAACAGTTATAGAATATAATATCACTATATAAAAATTGGTTTCATTTCTATATGCTATCACTGCCATAGCCTGAGTGGCCAGGGAGTTACTCCACATATGACACAGCAGACCTCACCTGTCTCATCGGATACTTCCCTTACCAGTGTATGTCAGTAGATCTGCCTACTCTGCTCCCCACCCTGTCTCTGGTGAATCCTCTCCCTCTCCTCCCACTGCCTCACCTCTGGCCTGTACTCCAGTTTTTTTATGCAAAAAATAAGTACAATCTTTTAAAAAATTTTTGTTTGGAGCATAAATCTTGTTAGGTGTTTATCTCCACAATTAAAACCTATGTGATATGGGCTATACTGGCCAATGTTTGTAGGTCCTGGCCAGTACTGGCAACGTGTCAAGGAGGGCAACTGATATGATGAACATAGGGTGCAATGAGATCGATGAACTGACAGTGCAGTTAGTACATGGGAATAGTCACTTCAGTGTAGGGGCTTAGTGCAGCCAGATTTGATTATTCCAAAGAAATCACAAAATCTGGTAAGAGTTTTATATGAAATTTCCTCACTAACTCAAAATACGAAAAATTCTCTATTGGACACCTTCTGCCTTATTCCTCAGCAAATTAAATGGTCCGTTAGTATATTCAGCCAGAAAGTGAGTAACCTATAGACTCTGCGTTAGGAAGATTAGTTTGACATTTGTGTGCAGGATCAATTGGAGAGAAGGGAAATGACAGGGACAGAGAAAGTATTTAGGGGTTTCTAGGTAAAAGCTTTCACTAGTGAAAGCCAGAACCAGAATAGAGGCAGGATAAATGGAGGGGAAAGCTGAGTGAGCTAGAATTAAGAACACAGATTGGTGAGATGATGGACTGATGTGGTATAGGTTGGGATGAGATACAGGAGATCAAACCATCTTCCAGGAGACACATGAGAGCAAGTTGAGACATTATATCCTTTTCCTCTTAGTCTTTGAGTGTGTGTTTCCTAAGAAATAAGGTTACTACTTTACACAGCCAAAGCACAATAACCAAAATCAAGAAATTTAAACATTGATATACCACCATTATTTATATCATCATCCACATCCAAATTTAGTCATGTTTTTAATATTCTGAAAACCAACATCTAGACAGAACTCAAAAAGTCCCTTGTAGAGAGGTAACAGTTTTATATAACTGAGGTGTTTCCTGGTTGTATACCTTTCTTTCCCTGGACAGTTCCCATCCACCCTCCAACAGGGTGCGCCTTGTGGCCAAGCTACCAGGCCAGTGGAATCGTGGTGAAGAGGACTGTGTCTTCTGCACATGCATACCTGGTGGGAATCTAATAATGCTAGGGAAAGTCCACAGGGAAAGACACAGCCTAGTTCATTTGACATGCAAATAAGAAGGTCATGTGGCAATTATTTATAGATCAGGTACCATGAAGTCTTCAGGAAGGTGACATTAATGTCTATGATAAAGGTTTGGGAGACTTTTTAGATGAGACAGTAGTTGTGTTGAGCCTCTAAGGGGAGTAGAACTTCTTCAGAAATGCCTGCTTCCCAAAGGGATGAGAACATAGAAGTACTCTGCTAGATGGGATTTAATTGTGACCCTGGGAATCATGCTTGTGTACATGCCACTTAAATATTTCTAGGAATGATGACAAAACAGAATACATCAAACAGTAACAGGGCAAGGAGATTGGTAGCAAATTTGAAGTTGACACAAGTGCTTCGTTTCACATTTTCCTTACTGGGAGGGATGGTTGTTTTAAAAGGAGGAATGAGAAACCAGTTTACTGAAGGAGTTGAAAAGTACCTTTTGTTTACTCATCAAAGTATCTCTTTCAGGGATATGTTTGCTTGTTCCCCCTGATTGTTTACATGCTTTAGGAGAAATGTCATTTAACCGAAATGTATTTGTACTTGCTTTTCAAGGTGAGGACCAAGGATCATGTATTTGATAATGTTGGTCATCTGATCAGATACCACATGGATAACAGTTTGCCAATCATCTCTTCTGGAAGTGAAGTAAACCTCAAACAACCAGTGAGAAAAGATAATAATCCAGGACTTTTGCATTCCAGCAAATGACAATATGAACATGCTATCCCATTGATACTTCAGGAAACTCCATTTTGTGTTAGACACTTGGCTTCTAGAGCCCAAACTGTGAAGTGCATCTTTCCAAGACCAATATGGACTTGGCCCTTTATAAAACAAAGAACTAACAAAAACTGATCTTCAGAAAGTGAAAATCCAAAGGGGAAGAGGATTAATCCATTTGAAAAGAAATTATACATATGCACGGATGTCACTTTTTAAGGCCAGAATACATTGATAACAAATTAAAAAGCACAATTAAAATTTCACATGCTAAAGACAACTTGAATGAACTGCTGGGGCAGTGGTATGTGCCTTTCAACTTGATTATTTGGGGACATTTTCATATCGGGGAGATTAGTTCTAAATGTCTCATGCTCTATAGCTACAGAACCATTTGCCAAAACAAAAAACAGAAAAACAAGAACAAGGTTTTCTTTCTTACAAAAATAAACAATTTGCTTGATGACTATTGACTTTATTACATTTTTCATTTAGTAGCACTTTCACTGTAATATTAAAATTAATTTGACATTGAATTTGGACAGTATCTATGCCAGTGGAAACAAAATCAAAACCCACTGAAGCATTGGTCTGTCCCATTTGCTGGTGAAAGGGTTGCGGGCCAAATTCTTTGGCCTAGAATTTCTCAATTTTTGCTGTTTGGAGTTTTTGTAGGCAGTGTGTTACAAACTGAGAGACCAAATCTATCAGTCACTTCTCATTTCCTCATTTTTATCCTTCCTCCCTCACACAAAAAGACAGCTCATGAGTGCATAGATTTAAAAGAGGCAAACAAATGAATGCTCTTTATATTCTATATCTTAATAGGTTCCACTTTTATTTGAGCTGCAAAATTTACTTGATGGTGTGAGGAAATATCCTCTTGTTTGACTGAAACTAAAATTTAGTTTGGTTAGATATAGCCAAACAAAAAACAGAAGGACAAAAAAAAAAAAAAAAACATTGAATGCAATAATTGGAATTTTTTTTCTGCCTGTAGACCTAATGTCAAAGTTAATTATGCATGGAGCACTCATCAGTGTGATCTTGAAGAAGTTCTTGAACCTACCTGGACTCCATTTTTCATGTCTTTAAAATGAGGGAACTGGACTAGGTGAATTCACACATCCACTTCAGTTGTAACATGTTTATAAAAAGTAAATTTTCCACTTACTGGGGGTGAGCATTGACAACCTGTCTGTAAAATACTTACATTTTTTTTTCTTAAGTCTGTGTAAGTACTCAGAGATAAAGATTCAAGTAGTAGAGACCCCAAACCTCTCAGTCTAAATCATTGAAAGTTGGAAATAATATAGGTAACCATGGTAGAAGTGAATTTAGTTGTTTTGAGTAGCAGAAAATGTACTTGCCTTTCCATATAGAGATCTGACCATTACTTTAGAATTTGTTTTATTTTTTAATCCTGAGTGGTCTGGACAATTGCCTTAACTCCACTTCATTTTGGCTACATAGATAAAACTAAATATTTGTAATTGTGATATATTTGCTATGTTTTAAATAAAATATGGATAAATTCTTTTGCATAGAAATTCAGCACACTGAACTCTAATATTTTTACGTAAAGGCTTATGAGTTTATTTTACTTAGTGCCGTTAATTTCTTTGGAAAGCTTGTTTTCTTTTATACAACTAGGAAATATTATATTTTCCATTGAATTTTCATACATCTTAATTCTTGATTATCTGTCTTCATAAAGGGTATTAGCATAGGTATAGGTCATAGAAATGTATGGGTGATCTAATCACCTTTATCAGAGACAAGACAGGACTGTGGTCTCTCTCAGTCTGGATGAGCAGAGTGCTATATAGTAAAAAAAAAAAAAAGAGTTCCTGGTACAAATAGATGCAGAGAGTATAAAAGATGTGAGTGTACACAAGGTAGTCAATATTTGATGGTAATGGTATAGTAGTTGGATGAGCGAATACTGCTCTTAACAAAAACCACGTAGTTAAAACAAAATGAAACCACAAAAGAAATGTTTGCATGCTCTTTCAATGACACACTCTTATCTTCATCTGTCTAAAAGTAGAACTCCATTTGCCTGTCAATGTCTGTAAACAACTTTTCAAAAAATAAATAAATGATTATTGCTTTGTGACAATTGGTGGCATATGTCTGATGTTTGGGAGATGGAAAATTCGTCATTTGTAGGATTTGTCAGGGTCCTGAGAGGAAACAGATGGCTCACCTAAATTGGGTAATTTGAGGAGGGCTTAATAAAGGGACTATTTACAAAGGTGTGGGCAGAGTTTGGGGAAACCACAGGGTGGACACATTGTGCTGGGGCCTGTCCAGAGAGGAGGGGAGGAAGCAATAATAACATCTGGAGAGGGAATTAGGGAAGGACTGCCTTCTAGGGCTATGGCCTAAAGTGGGGGGAGTCAACAAAGATTTGTGGAAGGGAATTTACTCAGTGGATAAAGGGTAGCCTTTGCAACATATGGTGCTGGAGCAATTGAACCCGTGTAGGCAAAAGAACAAAACTTACACTTGACATAAATGTGAACACCAATAGATTATAGTTTTACATGTGAAATATAAAAGTATATAATTTTTAGGAATTAACAGTATAGAGGCACAGAAGAAAATCTTTAGGATGTAGTGTTAGGCAGAGAACCTTAAACTTGATATGATCTGACAGATTATTAAGTAGCCAGAATATTAAATACACACACATACACACACCAAAAAGACCTTTAAAAGTTAAAAAAAAAATTCTGATTAGAAAGTGGGCAAAAACATAAACAGACATTTCTCTGATGATAAACAGATGGCAAATAAGCACATGAAAAGATTTTCAACCTCATTAGCTACTAGGAAAACGCACATTAAAACCACAGTACTATAATACTATTTAATTTACCATCAGAATAAATAAGATGAAAAGTAGTAACAACGTTAAATGCTGGTTAAGCTGAGGAATGATTTGCTCACATACATATTTCTGGTGAGAATGTTAAATTACACAGACACCATGGAAAACAGTTTGGTAGTTGATTAAAAAAGCCGTTCTAGGGCCCTTCCTGGTGGCGCAGCGGGTTAAAGCACCGCACTGAGAAGCTAAACCCACTTCCACATGAGTTCGATTCCTGCCTGCCCCGGAGGCGATCCACAAGGCGAGGCAGACTTCTCCTGGCCTGCCCGCTGCTCCCCTCAGCAGTGTGATTCGTCTATCTGCCTGTTCTGCTCCCCTCTCTGTCCCTGGTGAATCCTCTCACCCTCGGCATCTCTGGCCTGTACCCCAGTTCTGTATGAATAAATAAATCTTTAAAAAAAAAAAAGCCGTTCTACTCCCAAGGCTGATCACAGAGATGAAAACTCCTCTCATACAAAAATGTATACAGAGCTATTCATAGTTGCTTGTTCATAATAATTCCAAGTGGAAACAACCCAATGTTCCTTTGATGGGTGAATAACTATTCATATGAATGGACACATGCATGCCCTGGAAAGATAGCAATAAAATAGAACTACTGACAGATGCGGCAATTTGGGTGAAGCTCCAGAAAAGTTAGGCAGGGTGAAGAAAAGCAAATCCCCAAAGGTTGCATATCTAGTAGTCCCATTCATATAATATTCTTGAAGTGATACAAATACAGAAAAGGAGACTGAGTCCAGGGCCAGGAGGGCATCCTGAGGAAGGAGAGTGGTGAGCACAGTTATAAAATGCAACAGGAGGGATTCTTTCTGATGGAATTGTTTTGTATCTTGACTATTTCCATGCAGGTCTCCTGGTTATGGTATTCTACTATAGACTTGCAAAATGTTATCCTTGATGGGAACTGGGCAACGTTTACAGGAGATCTGCCTGTATTTTTTCTTGAAACTATGTGTGATTTCATTATTTTGTTAAAATACAACTTTAATTTAAAAATTTTGTGGTAAAAATGTAGGTATGTCAAGAAATTTTAGATTTCTCTTTCAACCCTTAGTAGTTTCAGTGACTATACTAAAGTCACAGATCATGAATGACCATCTTGGTTTGTCCTAAGTTCCTTCATATTGGTAATAGGAGTAGTCAGATGAAGAAGCTGCATGAGACATATTCATGAGGGATTTCAAGTGTAAATGTTTACTGTTTCCTCCAGACATATGCCAACTCCATGGAAAACCCCCTCAGATCTTGTGAATCATTTCTGTGTGCTGCTCTGCTGACGTCTCTTGGTTTTGCTTCTGACTGCTTGGATCACTTACCCCATAAGTTTGAAAGTTGCAGTACCCTAGGTGAGCATGAAGCTGAAAATCATCACATGACACAGAACAATTTCACTTTGCCCCTATTAGTCCCTCTCTCAAGCTGACACGGCTCTGTGTCTAAGTTCACCATCTCTCACTTGATGGGAGAGTGAAGAATGTGTTCAATGTCTTGACATCGTGGGTGGCTGCTGAGGGACTGGTCGCTCTCTTGTTTCATATGGGATACTAATGGCATCAGCATAAATTGACCAATTGGAGACCACTGAAAGCAATGAACTGGGGTAGCTTATTATAAATGTGCCATGACTAAGAGAAGATGCATAACTTGAAGTTTCTCCCTTAAGAGGGAGGAAGAGGAATGGGGTGTGTACTTGCACTCAGATTTTTACCCAGAGTTCACTTCTTGGAAGTTGATCTAAGAAAGAAGAACATTGAACATAGCTTCTTGTGTGGGCCCAGAAATAATCCAGTGTGCAGGGAAGTGACAGTTCAAACCCCACTTGGAGCAAATAAAAATAACATACAAAATGTTTGGGAAAAAAAAAAGCCAGCAGCTTCAATGATATATCCCATTTCTGGGTATACTATCTACATCACACTATCTACATGTCCAAATACATTTATATTTTCAATAAACCCTAAAATTTTGTCACAAATGGTATCATTATGTTGAATTTTATCAATGTGCAATGACCATGGTATGTAAGTATTTAAAATATACTTTGATTTTGTAATCTTGTTTTGGCACTTCTTTCCATTTAAATTCTGAGTGTCTCAGAAGTGGAGCATATCTGGGAAGGTCTGTCTTCCACGTTCAAGTGTAATGCTTGGATCTTTGGATCTTAGTCAAATGGTCCTCATCACTTCTCCTGGTAGGTCTGCTAATTCCAACTTCTCTTTCCAAAACCACATGCCTGCCTTCTCCTTGTGTGTCACTGGGTCCTCTTCTTTCTGTTTAAGCACATGGTTTAGAGCCCATCCCCTTCCAGTATCAATTCATATAACTAATGACATTTGCAGACTCTATTTCCAAATATGCTCATATCCTGTGTTTCTGAATGAACAATAAATTTTGGATGACAGTTTTCACGCCTTCCATAATCCAAGCTGACTCAAGTCAAAAGGTGTTTTAAAGGTTCAAGTATCATGGAATCCACGGTAAAGCTGATCGGTGAGGCTTGACAAAGTACAGGAACCAGGCAGGCCCATGGCTTTGAGTGGAGTGGTGGAAGTCCACAATTTCAGTCCAGACGCTACCATGTAATGTATACAAACAGAAGTAGTATATCTCCCATGAAATTCAGATAAGTGTAATTAAAACCTTTTTTGTTTTTGTTTTTTTTTTGTATGGTTACCATCTGACTCAGCTTTATGGAATTTTATTTCAATTGTTTGGGAAGGGAGTATGTTCGACCAATGTGACATTTCCCCTTGAAATGTAAACACATGTGATAGAAGTAGCGTCCTGCCTAGGCTCACAGGTGCGTCTGTTTAAAAAATGCAGGGTAAAAAAAAAAAAATGCAGGGTAAACATTCACCCAATATTGCACAAGTCATCTCCATTGATCACTCAAGGTCTTAGGCAGTTTTTCTTCTGTTTCCCACATTTGTCTTTACTACCCTAGACCTTTCTCAGCTTGTGTTTCCCTGGACACAGTAGGGTCACTCCTTGTGCACATTGTACCTTGCCTGTAAAGTGCCTTCCTCCTTCCTCCAGGCTTCAAGCTTTTGTCTGGGTTCACTCCCTCTTACCTATTTCACCAGTCACGCACACATGCACACATGAATCCTTTACTGTTTCTGGTCTGGTCTTTGCAATCACTCATACTAATCAACCTACCTGTTGATTAGTAGGTTGATTAGTATGAGATTCAAAATAATGAACAACTATATACCATATACCATATACCATATACTATATACTATATACTATATACAGGGGTGAGGTGGGGAATGAGATCAAAAAGGTGGGGGGGGGAGTGCACAGGACCACGGTGATTGCACATGGGTGATTTGGTGATGGGAAGCCCACGGGGATGGAAAAAGTCACAAAATGATGAAAAATAAACTATTATAATTATAAAAAAGGATAGATATCCAAGAAAATTCGGTTGAATGTATCCATAACTGTTCAAGTTCATTTTTTATAGGCTAGAGGCTCTGACTGATTCTTTAATCTGTATCTTTTGGTATTTTTTTATTTAAAAATATTTATTTATGCATACAGAACTGGGGTACAGGCCAGACGGGCAGTGAGAGGATTCACCAGAGACAGAGTGGGGAGTAGAGCAGGCGGACAGAGGAAGTACACTGCTAAGGGGAGCAGCGGGTGGGTCAGGAGAGGTCTGCCATGCTATATGGTCACCTCCAGGGTGGGGATCGAACTCATACTGAAGCGGATTTAGCTTCTTAGTGCTGTGCTTTAACCCGCTGTACCACCAGGGAAGGCCCTGCATCTTTTGGTATTTTTTTTTTTTGAACTTTTTTTTATTACAAAAGTTTATTTTTACATCATTTTGTACATTTTTTTTCCCATCTCAATTGTAATCCCCGCGGGTTTCCCATCACCAAGTCACCCATGTGCCATTACCATAATCCCGTGCATTTCCCTCCCCCCACCCTGTTTTTGATCCCATTCCCCACTCCACCCCCACAAAATGTCTCTGGTATATGGTTGTTCATTATTTTTGTTATTTTCCACCTGGTCCATTATACTCCTGCTATGAGTGAAATCATCCTGTATTTTTCTTTCTCTTTCTGGCTTATCTCACTAAGCATGATCTTTTCCAGCTCCATCCAAGTTGCTGCAAAAGACATGTGTTTCTCTTTTTTGGTTGCTGAGTAATATTCCATTGTATATATGTACCACATCTTTCTAATCCAGTCATCTACTTTTGGGCATTTGGGCTGCTTCCATGTTTTTCCAATTGTAAATAAAGCAGCAATAAACATGGGGGTACAAGTATCTTTTTCAATCAGTATTTTTGTGTCTTTTGGGTAGATACCTAGGAGTGGGATTGCTGGGTCATAGGGAAGCTCCATGTTTAGCAGTTTGAGGAATCTCCAAACAGCTTTCCATAGTGGTTGTACTAGTTTGCATTCCCACCAGCAGTGCAGGAGAGTTCCTTTTTCACCACATCCTCGCCAACATTTGTTGTTGCTAGTTTTTTGAAGATGTGCCATCCTCACTGGGGTGAGGTGGTATCTCATTGTGGTTTTAATTAGCATCTCCCTTATTACGAGTGATGTTGAACATTTTTTCATATGCTTGTTGGCCATCTGCATTTCCTCTTTGGAGCTCTTCTGCCCATTTTTTGATGGGGTTGTTTATTTTTGTTGAGTTTCATCAATTCGCCATATATTTTTGTGATCAGTCCTTTATCGCTACTTTTGTGTGAGAAAATGTTTTCCCAATTAGTGATCTGTCTGTTTGTTTTTAGTAAAGTCTCTTTTGCTGTACAGAAGCACTTTAACTTGATGTAATCTTTTGGTATTTTTATGCTGAAGTCTCACTAATACATTTTATAGGTAGTAACAAGCTCTGGATTTGTAAATGAAGGAGCTGCATTCAGATTCTTTCTCTGAGTCTCATATTAACTGTGTATTTTCTCAGGTTCTTCTGCTATAAAACGGGATTCCAATACCTCTCCTTGCCCCTCCCAGGGTTGTTGTGAGGACCAAGTGAGCTGGAATCTAACAGTACTTACCAAGCTGTAAAGCACTATATAAAGGGTCATAACAATGCCTTTTCATGTGTTTTCCTCTTACATCTTTTATGCTTTTGATCTAAGAAACAGTTGTTTGTGGGCAAAAGCATTTAGCATTCTACCTTAGTCTTCAGTACTGGGAGACACACATCTTGCCCTGTGGACTTCAGTGAGATGTGCAAAGTCTCTAAACTGGGTGCTCACTAACAACTAGGTAGCTTGGCTCAGGTTTCAACAACTGCTGTTCCCTGAATACCTTTTATTGGCTTTTTGGCACAGAAAGCCTTTTTATTTGTTCACTTTTCATTTACTCAACTTAACCTGTTTTTAGTACCTACCAGGCACTAACACACTAGCTGAAACATGCTAGATGCCTAAGAATCAGGAAGTACCTCAAGGTATTAGTCTTAAACTGAATGAAAGAGACAAATAACAGCTAAGTATAACAGATAATAAGAACTGTAATTAGATATACACACTGTACAGAGGTGGGAAGGGTCATTTCTGTCAAGGAAGGGAGGTTTGTGTCATCAAAGGCTCCTGAGAGGTTTCTTATTTATCTTGAAAGACCATGCAGTTGGAGAAGTAGGTGGGGAAATATGGGCAAATGAATTAACTTGAAGAAAATAATAGTTCTCTGAGCGTCCTAGGCTGCTCAGCCAGTAATTTCACTCATTTTATGGCTGTAGATTGAGTGTCCACTATGTGCCAGACCCTTATGCTACAGGGGTCAGTATAGAAAGGGTGGGATCGTGAGGGAAACCAGATTATGGAGAAAATGAACTACCATTTTATTACATCTTAGTATATATGGGTAAGGGCTAAAGGATTTTGTGGACCTGAGGTGGTGCTTGGTATTCACTGGAACACTTTTAAAAGGAAGTAAAGGGCTTTACTGCAGGTGAACAGGGCTGTCTTAAAGGTTAACATACTCTGTCAGCGCTGCTGAAAGGTTAACTTATATCTAAGTGACAGGAACATTCACACTGGAAGAAGTCCTAAGAAGTGAATAAACGTGGGAAAATCTGCAATCTCATCGTTAATTAAAGAAACATAAATTTAAACAAGGCAGGACCTAATAAGCAAGAAGAAAAAGTAAAACATCGAAGGCTGTTTAGGTTCCAGGGAAGCCGGCATCTGAAAGAATCAGGACAAATGCACAAATCTCTAAGGTAAGGGTTCTATGGGGAAAGTGAGAGATTCTGTATGCTGCAGTTGAGTCAGGGGATTTAAGACCGAAAAGCAAGGGGGAGATTGGGCAGGAGACTGAAGAGTCACTGTATCAGCCAGCTGTAATCAGCACCAAGGTCTAAGTCACCCAGGAAGAACCAGTCACCCAGGAAGGCAGAAAACCGCGAAGATGGGGCCTTTCTCCGCAATCGATGAAGCCACCCTCTGCAGTCAATTCTTCAGTAATTGGCTCACAGACCCACCAATGGGTACAAAGGAGGAGTTTCCCGCCACCTCTGGCGCCCGCTTTCAAACAGTCATACATTTGCAACTGCGGGAGAACTTCTCAACCAAGCTTGAGGAAGCAGGAGATTTCCGCCTCCAAGTCGCGGCCGAAGCTGTTATGACCCGCCCACTGCCCGAACCTCCAGCCGGCGATTGGAGCATGCGGCTGTACCTCAATTGCTTTAGGGTTCGGTTTGGTTGCGACTAGGAAGGAGCTAGCAGATTAGAGCCAGAGTACGGGGGTTTGCTGGAAATTGGTCAAGGGCCGGGGCTGGGGTTTCCCCGCGGTGACAGTATCTGCAGCCTTCGGTGAGTTTCGCTTCGCAGCTGGGCCTAGGATTGGGGTTGCAAGGGGTCTGGGGTCCTCAGAACCTTGGCTGAAGCTTCCCGGAAGGCTGACTGGCCCCCTCCTCAAATCCCGCGGTGGTGGATTGTCTGCAGTTTGCGGGACTCGGCTTTTAACTTTGAAGTGTCAAAGAGATACCACCGAGACGCTCCTTAGAGGTGACGTTTTGGAAGCCCTTCGCGTTTCCTTCCTGGAGCTGGGGTAGCCCTGACCCTTGCTCCAGGGGCTCGCTGTGGTCACCCAGGCGCTGCCTGGCTCACAGTGGGTGCTCTGTACACGTGGGTTAACCGGGTGCGTGTGACGCTGATCACCAATGCCCGCTGCCCACGGCGTCCTGGGCTCCGTGCAGCTGGGGCTTTGCGGTTCCTATTTGTTGTGCGGTAGTTGATGCTTAACAGAGTTCCTGGGTAAGGCCACTGATTTATTCATCCTTTTGGCCAGCTTGCTCCATCCCTTGGACATTACGATTCATTTTGTCCAGGCTGCTGTCCTTAGCCCTGATGACAAGGTTATGGTCATTTGTTTAAACGTCTGTTTTCTTTCCCTCCTCCAAGTCCTGCTAAACTTTGTATCTTGAACAGTACTTGGTAAATAAATTGTTGAGTGAATGAATTACGTACGCCCGGGTCTGGTCTTGCAAGTCTAAAGCAGGGTAATATGCTCTTGATATTTCCATTCTAGAGGGGAAGGTAGAATTTAAGCAACTATGTCAAGTTGACTAACATCCAGGGCACTTCTAAGTGGACTTGTGACACTTTACTGCTTTATCTCTTACGATCACATATTTGAATCTTGATTTAAGCTGGCTTTCTCCATATCCAGAACTATGTATAACAGTTTATAGGGCCTCCCTAAACAAGAAAGGCAACTAAACAAGAAAGGCTGAAGTGAAGCCATAAGAAATGTAGTCTAAAAGTGCAGAAGGACAAGTTTCATGGGAGAACAGGATTGGGAAGGCATCTTGAAGGAGATAGCATTTTCATTTCAGAAGATACTGCATTATTTGACAATGATTTCTCAGAAACTGCATATTCACCTTTTTGCAAATACACTGAATGTCCTTTATGCCTTTACATCTTTTGTATGCTGGCAATAATAATGTCATAATATATTGAAACCAAAATATACCTCAGTGTCAAGCATTTTTATATGCATTATCCACTAATCCTCATATCAAATTTTGGAGGTTGCTACTGCTTTTACCCTTCCTTCATTTGATTAATGCAGAAATGGGAACAGTTTGCTTAAGGTTGCACAGCTGGGGACCTTCCCTTGTGGTGCAGCTGGTTAAAGCACAGCACTAAGAAGCTAAAGCCACTTCAGCAAGAGTTCGATCCCTGCCCTGGAGGTGACCCACATGGTGTGGCAGACCTCTCCTGACCTGCCTGTTGCTCCCTTCAGCAGTGTACTCGTCAGTCGGCCTGTTCTGCTCCCCACTCTGTCTCTGGTGAATCCTGTCACCGCCCTTGCACCTCTGGCCTGTACCCCAGCCTGTATGCATAAATAAATAAATCTTAAAAAAAAATAAAAGGTTGCACAGCTGATAAACAGAAGAGTGAGAATTGAGCTCAGCTTGCCTGCATGAGTGTTCTTATTCCTAACTAACTACTCCCAGCTGCACTGTGTCCTTTAAGATCTATTTCTAGTCCAGTATTAATGTGTCACTTCTCTCAGTCTTCCTTTCTTCTTAGGCAGAACTGTTATTTTTTTACCCCCTTAGGCAGGGGAAAATGTTGTGTTTGTAGTTTCCTCTGTTACTGAATTTATTACAAATTGTTATTGTAACTATTAATTTTATTACTGTTTCCCCTAGGGTGGTAACATGTTTTAGATACTTTGAGGGTAGAACCTGACACCCAATGAGTGTACAAGTTTATTGAAATAATAAATCCCTGTAGGGTAACTTGGATATATCACATTCATTCAACACAAGGAGGGGGAGAGATAGTTTAATTCTGCCTTCAGAATGCTTATAGCCTATTAGATGAGGCAAAAATAATGCGAATTTTGCTCTCTAGTATTTAGTACAGGTAAACACCTTTCCCTTCTCGTTCCTAGGAGGTCAAAGAAAACAACCAAGGCAGCAAAATGAGTACTGAGTTTGAGCCCTTCTGATCTGAGTATAAATGAAGGACACAACATAATCTTGTTAATAGGTTCAAAAATTTTTATCTGGGAAGAAAGTTTTTTTTTTTTTTTAAAGATTTATTTATTTATTCATACAGAACTGGGGTACAGGCTAGAGATGCCGAGGGTGAGAGGATTCACCAGGGACAGAGTGGGGAGCAGAACAGGCAGATCGACGAAGTACACTGCTGAGGGGAGCAGCGGCAGGTCAGGAGAGGTCTGCCGCGCCATGTGGTCACCTCCGGGGCAGGCAGGGATCGAACTCATCCAGAAGTGGCTTTAGCTTCTCAGTGCTCTGCTTTAACCCGATGCGCCACCAGGGAAGGCCCAGGGAAGAAAGTTTTAATCATCTTGCTACGTTTATTAAAAAAGCATACCGTATACTTTACAACTTGATTTTTAAAAAAAGATTTATTTATTTATGCATTCAGAACTGGGGTACAAGCCAGAGGTGCAGGGGTGGTGAGAGAATTCATCAGAGACAGTGGGGAGCAGAACAGGCAGATCTATGAAGTACACTGCTGAGGGGAGCAGCAGGCAGTCAGGAGAGGTATGCCACACTATGGGGGTCACCTCCCTGGCTGGAGGTAGAACTCTTAAGGAAGTGGCTGTGGCTAGCTTGCAGTGCTGTGTCCTAACCTGTTGCACCACCAGGTAGGTCCCACAACTTGATTTTTTAAATGACCAATCAATGAACATAGGGGTAATTATTTTTATTAATAATAAATAGACATATTTTTATAATGGCATAGTATTACAAAATATATCTAAAAGTATTTTTACTAGTTCAAACATTCTTTGGTGTATTATTATTGATAGTTTTTAAGTTGGTATTTGCAGTCCATAATTTATAAGGATGCCCGTTTCTTAGAAAATTCCCAACTCCCATCTCTAGATCTTTAATTTTTTTTAATATATTGATTGAAAATAATATTTCGTTGTTTACATGACACTGTATTTTCAGGAGCATCTTTTCAAACTGACCTTTCATATTTCTTTTTTAAATGAATCATGTCTTGCCCATTTTAAGTTGGATTTTCCTTTTTCCCATTCCTTTATTGTTTGCAGATATTTTTCTTATTTCATTTTTAATCTGTTAGTATATTTTTCCAAATGTAATATTTGATTTGTTAATGATATCTTGTGATTTACAGATTTTTCTTTTTGTGAAGTTTCCCATAGTATTTTTATTCATGACTTCTGCATTTATGATTGTGCTATTTTTTTTTTTTCTAAGAGAATCTCTTCAGCTTGGAATATTAAAGTTCCTAGTAGCAGTGGTAATTAGTAATGACTAACAAAGAAAAGCATTTGTTTTTATTTTAAATTCTAGTTAGAATACAAATAACCTCTTTAGTTTTTAAAATTTTAATTATTTTCAAGAACAATTTTTATTAGTATTAGTAAAAGGTTATAGCCTTTACCTTTTTAGTTTTTTAACCATAGTCAGTTTATTAGATTTCCCTTTATGCCTAAAATAGTTTATTACTAAGGTTCTGGTGGTTTGCACTTTTCAGAAGGAAAACTTATTTGTACATTTTTCCATAGTGGAGAGACATTTTGGTCTTGTCAGATTTTTTTTTTTAAGATTTCTTCTTTTGAGACATAGATTGGAATTAAAATATTATTGAAAAAAATGCAGTTTGGTCTTTTGCATTCTCTTCACTTTAAAAGTGAAGATACCGGGCCCTTCCTGGTGGTGCAGCGGGTTAAAGCACAGCACTAAGAAGCTAAAGTCACTTCAGCATGAGTTTGATCCCTGCCCCTGGAGGTGATCCACATGGCGCGGCAGACCTTTCCTGGCACGCCCGGGGCTCCCCTCAGCAGAGTGGTTAGTTGATCTTCCCATTCTGTTCCTCACTCTATTTTGGGTGAAGCCTCTTACTGCCCCTGCACTTCTGACCTATTCCCCAGTTCTGTATGCATAAATAAATAAATCTTTTTTAAAAATGAAGATACCTTATATAGTTCATTAATCTCTATCTGAGAAAAAGTGGTTTTTAAAAAATAGTTATACTTAGCAAATGGCTTTTGTAAATCTTAATGTTCTTTTTTAGTATTCAACAAGAATTGATGACAGGTTAGTGGAGGATTAGGACAAAAACCTTCCTTCTTTTACTTAAAGGTGAAATGAGCTTCCATTCTATATTCTGGCATAACAAATACAATGCAGAAGACATGGAATATATTATAAGAAGCAGAAGCTTAAAGAACAATTTTATGCCTGGAGAATTCCGGAATATCATATGGTCCAGTTCATGCTCATCTCTTTTGTTTTATTTTATTTTTACTTTTTAAAAATTTATTTATTGGCCCTCCCTGGTGGCGCAGCGGGTTAAAGCACAGCACTGAGAATCTAAAGCCGCTTCTGCATGAGTTCGATTCCCGCCTGTCCCGGAGGTGACCACATGGTGTGGCAGACCTCTCCTGACCCACCCGCTGCTCCCCTCAGCAGTGTACTTCATCGATCTGCCTGTTCTGCTCCCCACTCTGTCTCTGGTGAAGCCTCTCGCCACCCCTGAGCCTCTGGCCTGTACCCCAGTTCTGTATGCACAAATAAATAAATCTTTAAAAAAAAAATTTATTTATTTATGCATACAAAACTGGGTACAGGCCAGAGGCGCAGGGGTGGTGAGAGGACTCACCAGAGACTGAGTGGGGAGCAGAACAGGCAGATCGAAGAAGTACACTGCTGAGGGGAGCAGCAGGCGGGTCAGGAGAGGTCTGCCAGGCCATGTGGTCACCTCCATGGCAGGTGGGGATCGAACTCATGCTGAAGTGGCTTTAGTTTCGTAGTGCAGTGCTTTAACCTGCCGTGCCACCAGGGAGAGCCCATGTTCATCTCTTTTAAGGAGCTAGGGTTTAAATGCTGTAGTGTTTGTGATCTCTAAGTTCTGTAGCCTTGGTGTTCTCTTGTGGTTGTGAAAAAACCCTACACTGCTACAATTATATTATAAAGTTACTATATGCAGATCTCCATCTTTGCTGGCATACAAGAAGTTCCCTACAGTGCTACTGTAGAGAAGGTTATAGTCCCAGGCTTATATATTTTTCCCTGTCTGTGAAAGAATACACATGTCCTTCTGTTAGCCCTGGCATGAGAACCAAAAGGAGTATGTCTTGTTTATGAAGCAGAGGCAGGAATGGTTTCTGCTGGTGTGAGGAGTTTAAATTGATATGAATTGATAAGTATGAATTGGGCTGAATTCTTTTCACATTTTTTAAAAAAGATTTATTATCCATGCATTTAGAACTAGGGTCAGGCCAGAGGTGCAGGGGTGGTGAGAGGACTCACCAGATACAGTTGGGAGCCGAACAGGCAGACTGATGAAGTGCACTGCTGAGGGGAGCAGCCTGCATAACAGGAGAGGTCTGCTGTGCCATGTGGGTCAGCTCTGTGGCGGAGGATCAAACTCATGCTTCAGTGGCTGTGGAGAAGAGCTTCACAATGCTGTGACTTAACCCATTGTGCCACCAGAAAGGACCTTTCTTTTTACATACCGAGGCTACATTTAAAAACTAATGATGTTTCCATTTCAGTGAGTATTACAATCAAGGGTGCCTTAGTTTTAGTGAAATGGAGTATCTTTCTGCTGCAGAGCTTATAGAAAAGTTGCTTATCATAGTTCTTTACTGTTAATAATAGGGGGCTAAGATCATTATAGATCTTAGTTGGGTCTGTGCTTCTCATTTTACTTTCCATTTAATGATATTTTGGAGTTCTAAGAGTGTAGTGAATGTGGAACCCAGGATGTCAGAGCACACTTCATTGGTTATTTCCTCCACAAATTAACTTTATCCTTTGACTGTCAAAAAAGCAAATCCCATGCTTTACAAAAGGGAAGTCTCTAAATCCTGCAGTGGAGTGGACTGATGGTGGGCAGCCTTTGGCCTGGGAATTGATGACACCGACCTTTTTTGTCAGGATTGTTCAGAGCTTTGAACTTCTGGGTAGTTTATGTGCCATATAATTCAAATAGTGAGCAATTTAAATCAGCAGCTGCTTTTGGACTGTAAGTACTTGAAAATTCCTCTGTTGCTCGTTCTGCCATGGCGGTTGCCATTTTCCAGGGAAGTCTTTCTGTTGCTTTTGGGACTGGAACTTCAGTGGTAAAGCTTCCCAGGCTTCAATTCCGTTTTTCCTGAGTTTTTTCGTGCTGGACCCTGATTCACTTATATTCTTGTTGGTGCGATATGGCATTTACCAGATTGGCAATGGTTTTTGAGTAACAATCATTAGACCTGAGGATTTAGAGACTTCCCTTTTGTAAAGCATGGGATTTGCTTTTTTGACAGTCAAAGGATAAAGTTAATTTGTGGAGGAAATAACCTGAGCCATATTTAATATAGCAACTTTGAAACTTTGAGCGTAGTCTAAAAATTTTTATGTTTTGGCACATTTTTAAACTTTCTTCTTCTTCTTGTCATATTTTTTGTATAGCTGAAAGTTGTGCTGTTTTATGTTACACTTTCCAGACCACTAGAAATGTCTAACCAATAGCTATTTAAATTTTTTCCTTTCGGAGAATTTTAGTCATGTTGCTATTTTTTTCTGAGCGGTTATTGAGTTGTAAGAACTCTCTTTATATTTAGAATTGTGTGTTTCATTCATTTGTGAACCACACATATTCCCCCTACCCCCGCTGTGTTCATTTTGTATCTCTTTTGTTGTTTAGTTTGGGGAGACTACACTAGTTTGTGTAGAAGCCAAGCATCTTTCCCTTTCACAGGTGGGCCATGTCATTAGACTTCGGCAGTGTGGCCCTACCGACACAGAATGAAGATGAAGAAGAATATGACAAGGAAGACTATGAAAGGGAGAAAGAGGTAAGTTATCCAGAAAAAAAGGTTCTAAACGCAATCATTCACAGTTTTATTTCCTGATTAAAAAGATATTATGTGTCATTTAAAAAATATAATTCTTTAAGGAAAAAAATTCTAAAACCTGATCAAATTTGGACTTTGAAAATGTACAATGGAGAGCTTTCTTTTTTTGAGCTAAGTACAAAAAAGAACTTTGCTGTGCCTTAGGTACAGGGGGAGTTTTTTTTCTTTTTTTAAAGATTTACTTATTTATGTATACAGAACTGGGGAACAGGCCAGAGGTGCAGGGGTGATGAGAGGACTCACCAGAGATGGCCACAGGGGGAGATTTTTAAAGATTTTTCATTTACCAGTTGGCTTTTTAGGCAGAAGCTTTGTTTCTAGTTGCTTAGATCATTGCTTTGAAAAGCCTGACAAGGTGCTTCGTGGTGGATGACTTCCATCCCAGTGCAGGAAGACAATGAAACAGATTCATGATTAGATAGATTAATTTCAATGAGTGGTAATTTAGCACTGATGCATGATAAAGAAAGAGGGTGATATTAAAGCCATTGGTAGTAGACTGGTGAGGGAGGTTCTCTTGGAGGAAGAAATACTGACCTGAGACTTGACTCCCTAAAGGAGTCAGAAATGCAGAAGCCTGAAGAAGATTTTAGACCAAGGCTCCAATGAGTAGAAGTCAGGGAAAGACACTATTTAGTTATCTGTGGGGTAGCTTGAAGTTGTTGGATTGGGAATGTGTGAAGGGTTGAGTGGTGATGAGAGGTGGAGGGAAGGGCTAGGTCAGGTCATGATAAGCCTGGTAAGCAGGAAGGGATACCTGATCATATTTTTGAATGGTCTTGCTGAATGGTATATAATTAGACTAAGGGAGAAAAAGAGAATATATATCAAGTGTTAATCAGAATTCTTGGCACATGGTAACTTCAGTAAGTGGTGGTAATGGTAGTAATATCTGTTGGCGGAAGTCACTTTGCTTGTTATGGATTTTTTTTTTAAGGTTCATTTATTTATGCACACAGAACTGGGGTACAGGCCAGAGGTGCAGAGGCGGTGAAAGGATTCACCAGAGACAGAGTGGGGAGCAGAACAGGCCAACTGACAAAGTACACTGCTGAGGGGAGCAGTGGATGGACCAGGAGAGGACTGCCACGCCATGTGGGTCACCTCTGGGATGGGGATCAAACTCATGCTGAAGTGGCTTTAGCTTCTTAGTGCTGTGCTTTAACCCGCTGTGCAACCAGGGGATTGTTTTTAATTTCATTCCAATTTCTTGGTTATGATAATAGGTTTCTTTTATATTGAAAATTATGCTTGATAGGATTCCTTTTCTAATATGTCATATAATCCTTTTTTATACTTATTGTGGATTACTAGTATTAACAAGAAGCAGGGAATGGGATCAGTTGCACACATGATTGTCAGTAAAATATCGGTCAAGATAGAAAATGAGCAGCTCAGTGGATTTTTTCTGTAGACATGTATCATTTGGTTGTGTTGTGTTTTTATGAAATGAAGCTGTAGTTGAAGATTGAAAAACTTCATATAACATGTAACTTGTCTTGAAACATCGTAACCCTGACACAGGTGAACTGTGTCTGGTAGCAGATGGGCCGGCACTGAGCAGGGGCTCCCTCTTCCCAGCTGATGCCCAACTCCACTTCACACAGACTTGGACATGTCACTTGGACCTGCCTGCTTTGATTCTGTAAACTGTCTGCCATGTTGTTGAGGGCTTTAAAGTGTAACTGTGGTCAGGATTTCTGGATTTCTACTGGATCCTCATAACAGTTGTGGCAAGAGTGGGATATGAAGCTATTCTGTTACTTTGTGAACTCAAAGCCAAGTGATTTGAGATATTTCTCTGGAATTCTGCTACTGGGATTCTTGAGAGGATCAGTTTAAAGAATTACAATAATAGACTTCAAAGAAGAAAAAGGGTATGGCAGGTAATTTTTTCATTAAAAAAATATTAGGGGATGGGTAGGTGGTAAGAAAGAGCTTATTTGCCAGATGTATTGCGGGAACTTTTTTTTTTTTTGAAGTTTTATTTATTTACATATACTTGGAGGTGTATTTATTTACACATACTTGGAGGTGTATTTATTTACAGAGGTGCAGGGGTGGTGAGAGGATTCACCAGAGACAGAGTGGGGAGCAGAACAGGCAGATTGATGAAGTACACTGCTGAGGGAAGCAATGGGCAGGTCAGGAGAGGTCTGCTGCGCCATGTGGGTCACCTTTGGGGCAGGCTGGGATCGAACTCATGCTGAAATGGCTTTAGCTTCTTAGTGCTGTGCTTAAACCCACTGCACCACCAGGGAAGGCCCTGCAGGGACATTTAAAAGGGGATATTTAATTAAAGAGGTGATTAGTTCTAGAGAATACAGAAAATAGTCACCGGAATGGTCATTCTTGATAGATTATTTGCTGGAGTGATACTTTCCAAAGGAAAAGGAGTTCCAGGAGGTAAATATTTAAGAAAGTGTGTATCTAGCAGAGTGGAAGAAAAGAATATATGATTCACTTGACTCTGGCATGATGATTATGCCTCATGCTAGTAAAAAGTGTTCCTTATTAATGAAAACTTTATTTATTTTATTTTTTAAAAATTTTATAACAGTTTATTTTTGCATCATTTTGTACATTTTTTTCCCATCTCAATTGTAATTCCCACGGGTTTCCCATCACCATGTCACCCATGTGCCATCACCAAAATCCCTTGCACTTCCCTTCCCCGTCCCCCCCCTCCCGTTTTTGATCCCATTCCCCACTCTTATTGTTCATTAATGTCTCTGGTATATGGTTGTTCATTATTTTTGTTATTTTCTCGCCTGGTCCATTATACTCCTGCTATGAGTGAAACCATCCTGTATTTTTCTTTCTCTTTCTGGCTTATCTCACTAAGCATGATCTTTTCCAGCTCCATCCAAGTTGCTGCAAAAGACATGTGTTTCTCTTTTTTGGTTGCTGAGTAGTATTCCATTGTATATATGTACCACATCTTTTTAATCCGGTCATCTACTTTTGGGCATTTGGGCTGCTTCCATGTCTTTCCAATTGTGAATAAAGCAGCAGTAAGCATGGGGGTGCAGGAATCTTTTTGAATCAGTGTTTTTGTGTCTCTTGGGTAGATACCTAGGAGTGGGATTGCTGGGTCATAGGGAAGCTCCATGTTTAACAGTTTGAAGAACCTCCAAACAGTTTTCCTACTTTGCATTCTCACCAGCAGTGCAGGAGAGTTCCTTTTTCTCCACATCCTCGCCAACATTTGTTGTTGCTAGTTGTTTGAAGATGTGCCATTCTCACTGGGGTGAGATGGTATCTCATTGTGGTTCTTATTTGCATCTCCCTTAATACGAGTGATGTTGAACATTTTTTCATATGCCTGTTGGCCATCTGCATTTCCTCTTTGGAGAAGTGTCTTTTTAGCTCTTCTGCCCATTTTTTGATGGGGTTGTTTACTTTATTTTTGTTGAGTTTCATCAGTTCTCCATATATTTTTGTGATCAGTCCTTTATCACTACTTTTGTGTGAGAAAATGTTTTCCCAATTAGTGGGCTGTCTGTTTGTTTTTAGTAATGTCTCTTTTGCTGTACAGAAGCTCTTTAACTTGATGTAGTCCCATCTATCCTTGCCTTCACTATTGTGGCATTGGGTGCTCTATCTTTAAAGATGTCACTGAAGTGTATGTTGTGTAGTGTTTTCCCATCTTTGCTTCTAGGTATTTTATGGTTTCCATTCTTATGTCTAGTTGATTTTTGTGACTGGAGTGAGGTAGTGATCTAGTTTCATTTTTTTGCATGTAGCTTCCCAGGGAAACTTTCAACTTTTTTTTAAAAAAGAGGAAAGAAATGAGATCTGAGTCCAGATAATTTCAGATTTTCAGCAGCAAAATTCAAAATTATTTATGAAATTCACCACAGTATGTTTATTTTGTCACTGCAAGTTAAACGCATAAATTGGCTGATCAAACTTAAGTTTGTTTGTATATCCAGAAGCCTTTCTACCTCCTCAGTCCCCCTAATTCTACACAGAGAACATTTCATGGACTTGAGAGCTTAAAGAAAAGTGCAGTCTTTTTCTCTCTCTCTCTGGTTGGTAGCTTTGAGATTATCAACTGCATTAAAGCTATTAGCTATGGGCTGGTGCATATTGCTTGCCCTACTTAACAAATCACTTTGTAATCACTTACTTTCTCTTATAGGAGGTATGTCTATAAACCATGGCTATACCATAGGACTGACTGAGCAGGCTTCCTCTGACTCAGTTAACCCTGTCAAGGATTTTGTGAAATCCTCTCTCTGTAAACAGCATAATCACCTTGGTTTTGACATTCCAGTATGAATGATCATGTTGTACAATATGAATTTAATTTTGGTGCTTTGGGTCAGTTGGAATTTGGTGCACACTTGCTTGTATAAGTCAGGTGAATAAGCGAATAAACCATAGTCAAATTCCAAACTCCTGATTACCTGCTGTGTGCTTATGATCCATCTCTTTTTAGGTCTATACTTGCCACTGTTTGTATTACAGGGCAAATGAAAATAGTGCATTTGATCTTCAGAAAAGAAAATATTCAGAAAACTTACACCAGCAGAAACTCAAACCACAATGAATACTACCTGTATTTTGAAAAAAATACCTCTAAGAATTTGACAGAAATGTTCAGTAAGCCTAGTGAATTCTATATTGCTGTAGCTCTAAATGGTATATCAGTACAAGTCGGGCATTCTGCACCACAGAGCAGAGGAGAATTGCATAACCCACAGCCTTACCCAGTGTTGCAACTGAAATTCCATCTCGTGCACAGTCAACAGAGCAGATGAGGGTGCAGGTGAGTGAGAGGGATGATGCCATGGATATGTTGGTATCGTGACCATTGATATCCACATCACTCATATTCCTCACAACCTAACAAAGTATTAATTTCTTGCTGTACCATTTGAGAACTACTGATATACTTGCCCTTGCTACTGAATAGACTTCATCCAAAGTACTCTAGGCAGACGTTCACTTACAAAGTTGGCCCAGAAAAGTAAAAAATTCTTTTGTAACTTCATAACTTAAGTGTGATTTTACAAAATAGTTTGCTCTTGAAATCACTATATTTGGTGGTTATATCATTAGATATCATCCTTAGTTATTTTTTGTGATAGGAATGGTTGTTAAACTTCAAAGTTGTTCATAATGTCACTACTTAAGGTAGCTTGTCATTTGGAATTCACAGTTTGTTGGGGTATACATACACTTTCTAGAATTGCACCAGAAGTAGCTTTGTGATTATTGCTTGGTTTTGGAGAGTAAAACTATGCATGTTTGCATGTATTTTGGATGAGAGTGATTTGGAACAAAAGGTATCTGTGTTATCAAGCCAGTACTTCCCTGATGCTGTTTCATTTAGTCATGATATATATGAAACCTGGAAAATCTTGAGGAGTGAGGTCGGTGGTTTCAGTAGTAGATGGCAGACAAAAACTCTCATCTGGTGATACTGATTTGAATTCCTCTTGGCTTTTATATTGGTACTCCACTAATAGAATAATAAAGCTCAATTGAGCTTGGAATTATTATTTTTCGAGGTAAGATTCCCCTTGTGTAGCATTTACTTAACTGCCTTGTTTGAAGTAATTGTGGAATCATTTCCTTATTTTATTCCCACTAGAGGGAGTTATATAGCTAGTATTTGTTTATATTTTGTTATTTGATTTATCTACAGAAATTGTCATCCCTCCCCTAAATCTAAGGAACAATGCTTGCATATTTACATTACAGTTTTCTGGTGTTTCTTCTTTAGCAAGTTTTTAATACTTTATCTAGATTGTGCCCTGTGGCTTTTCCCCATAATACACAGATATTTCTCTGGGGCTGTCACAAGTAGAAGAAAAACACAGACCTGTGACAGAAATGAAGCTGGATTGTACACAGGCAGGTAAACACGTCTTCCGGGGACTCAGTGTCATGCAGAAGAAAATAGGGGAGATGCATGTTCTGATGTCAGTTCTGGGTTGCTTACTTTTCACGTTCACAGTCCTCATCTTCTTTGGACCTTGGTTTGCTCACCTTTAAAAGGCAGGGTTTGGGTCCTCCCTGGTGGACAGTGGATTAAAGTGCAGCACTACGAAACTAGCTGCAGCTGCTTCAGCATGAGTTTGATCCCTGGCTAGAGAGGTGACCCACATGGCACAGCATACCGCTCCTGATCTGCCCGCTGCTCCCCTCAGCAGTGTACTTTGTCAATCTGCCTGTTCTGCTCCCCACTCTGTCTCTGGTGAATCCTCACTGCCCCTGCACCTCTGGCCTGTACCCCAGTTCTCTATGTATAAATCAATAAATCTTTAAAAAAAGGCAGTGTTTTGCTTGCAAGGAGCCCCTGTGTCCCTCCCTGCCCAAAGTTCTCTTTTTGTGCTATCTGTAGGCTGTCTAGGCTTGTCTAATAAACACTGCCATATTAATTTTTTTAGCCATGTGTGGCAACTTAGGACCAAGACACCCTAGCTACCATAGATTTTAGTTTAATGGAATGGATATATATATATATATATATATATTGCATTCATCCCATTGCATACTTCATATAATAAAGGTCTAGCTGCCAGGTTACTTGTACCTTTTCAGTCCCACATTGGGCCTTTGATGGTTTTAAACTTCTCTATTAGGTTAAAATAAAGATTCTGCTTGGTGTGTGTCCATGAAAGCGCCATATAATAATTCACATTTTAAAATATCAGAATCTTTTCGTGTACTTATGAGGTAACCTTTTCAAAAGGAATATGAATGTTGGTCTTTCCATGTGCTGCTTTTCTCTTGGGAGAAGACTCATTAAACCGTTTGTAATAGGAGAATTGCTTTCATGAAGTTGAGGACTATAGTCTTGAAAGACAGTCTGTTAAGTTGTAAATCCTAACAAAAGGTGTAGGTGTTCTTTGTCTTATATTCCCTGTAAGCTTTTTTTGGTGTTCTACATGAGTTATTGTAAAAGGTTTTGTTGGTGAAGTTCTTTGAGTTAAAGTGCCCTCTTTATTTTCTTTGTTTCCATTTTTAGTAATGAAAGGTGAAGTAGTAAATGGAGAGGCTTTTATACTGGTTAAACAAGATCATTTCCATAGAAGCCTTAGCAGTGGCAAATTATCTTTTTTCTAGGGAAGGTAAATCTAGTTATAAAACTGCACTGAAACCCAATAACATTCTTTGAAAACTGCTTTTGTCATCAAAACGGAGTTTGATGAATCTGAACTTAATGAGGAAAACTTAGTTATTTATAAGGATTGATATCATTCCCCTTGAACTTTTATTTGGTAGTTAGATCGATATTTAATGAGGAAAATTGATCGTTTCTAAATTTTTTTATTTGGTAACATGTGTAAGTTGATATGGTAATTTTGTGTTTTGTGGAACAAAATTCAGTGGCCAAAAGCAAATTTTATGTGACAGTGCATATGAGGGGGGCATATTTTGATCCTGGGAAATGGAAGTTGAGGGGGCTTATTTCTGAATTGCCTTATTAAGAAGGACTTCACCTCATTTAGCTTCTCTTTGCTCTGAAAGTTATAGAAGCTAAGGAGTATGGCCCACTCTGCCAAAAAACTTCATGGACAAATTTTTTGAAGGTGAATAAAATTAATATAAAGTGTTAGCATATATGTAAAATATTTTATAAGACAATAAATACTACAGAGTTGATGTTGCTAGTTGCTAAGTTTAGTCTGTATATCTAAAAGCATTTTGATTAACTTACTGCCTGTGCTCAAATTAATTTTCCTTCATGGAAGCCAATTTTGTTCATTTTTGTGGTATCATAAAGAAAGCTACAATAGCTGTTAATTATTGTGTAATCTGTGAAGGGGAATATGTACTATTTAAATGTCCCTGTCAGTGTTTCCCTGAATTATAAGGCTATGTACTTGAACCTCACTGAGGGTTTAGAAGAAAATATTCATTCTGTTCAGCAGTCCTTACTTGATGTAAATATAAAGATTTATTTTTTTATTTTTTCTGTGTAACGTGTGGGTATTGTTTTCACTAAAGCAAGGATGTGTAACAACAGGCAAAGCAGGTTGGTTTTCTTGTAAGTTTGTTGCTTTGTGAATTTGGTGTCTTTGTCACATCACTTTGCTGCCTTTCACTTGAAGCTCCTGGTGTACTAATGTGTTGCTATGTTTTGCTTTTATTGTTGCTTCTTAGTCTTTATATATTGAGTTAACTCTGATATGGCTAATTCTCACAATGGTTTTTCAGTTACCTTGCATGAGCAGGTGGCCATTAAGTCAAGATCTTGGTTGGTAATATTAGTGTCAAAAGTTACGATGAAGATGTTTTTTTATTGGAACAGAATCTTTCTTCTTTTTGTTTTTAAAGAACCAGATGAACTGATATAACTTTCAGTTGACTGATCTTTCAGTAGAAAGATATTTGGGAGGGAGAAGTATTTTTCTTGTAATATTTTGACTTTTATCATATATCTAGTTTAAAAAAGGTTTTGATTATGAACATAGTACTCAGATGTTGCATCACTACATTTCAATTTTTTTTTTCTATCCTGGTGACAAAGTAGAGTGTGGAAAACCTTGCCATAGGCTAGAGAACATTGCCTTGCTTTCTCTAAGGTTTTATAGAGTATTGAATATCTTTTAAAATTCAATCATTGTTAAGGGATTGATTTATGTACTGTGGAAGGATTCAGCCAAATCGTTAGCTGAACAGATGCTTGACTTTTTAAAGAGAAGTTGTGATAAGCACTGTCCCTACTATTTGGTAAGATATTAGAATCATCTTGATTGTTAGAAATGTAAAGACATTATTATGGGAAGTGAAGGAAGATATTGAAATTCAGCAAATTCATTCATCTCTATCACAGTTTAGTTTGAATTTACTCTGCCCATTTTTATAGGTAGAAGGCTAAAGATATGATTTTTCTAGAAAAATTACAGAATGAAGTCAAATGCTGTATGTTAGATTTAGAATTATGCTTTTAAGAATGTTATTTTAGAAAATTGAATACTTTTACTCAGCTGTTTCACAGGAGCAGAATATTGTATATCTTTTTGTCATTGGAATAAGATAACTGTCTACTAATTATTTATTCCCCAAGAGGTTTTTAACATATTATTAGAGCTTTAAAGAATGTCTACACCACCTGTTGCTGCTGCTGCTATTCTCCCCACCTGGGCCAAGTACATCTGGCTACTCAGATTCCCTGGGGAATGTCAGACTGTCAAGTCTGGAGGTCTAATTACTGGTAGAACAGGAGACTGAGATTCTAATAATAGTTACAACTTGCTGTGTTTCCATAAAGAAAATTTTTTTAAAAAGATTTATTTATTTGTGCATACAGAACTGGGGTACAGGCCAGAGGTGCAGGGGCAGTGAGAAGATTTACCAGAGACAGAGTGGGGAGCAGAACAGGCACATTGATAAAGTACATTGCTGAGGGGAGCAGCAGGTGGGTCAGGAGAGGTCTGCTTTGCCATGTGGGTAACCTCCAGGGCAGGCAGGGATCAAACTCATGCTGAAGTGGCTTTAGCTTCTTAGTGCCATGCTTTAACCCGCTGCGCCACCAGGGATGGGCCTCCATAAAGAAATTTTTCAAAAATTCGGTTGAAATGTATGCATATTGAAGTCAAAGACCTTTCTAGAAAAAACATAAATCTAAAATCAAAATTTAAAGGTGATTCTTATATAAATCCTGATAATATGTTTTCAGCTTTCCCCAAGTGAGATGAACACCATCATTTGTGTGGAATTTAAGAAATGTATGAAACAGAGACATTAGGAACTTCTATAGTAAAAACCTGACTTCCTGAGGCAACTTTGGTTGGGCATCTCATGCTGAAATCCGTGTGATGGTGACACTGGCTCTTTTGTCTCAGTTGCAGCAGTTACTCACAGACCTTCCTCATGATATGCTGGACGATGATCTGTCCTCTCCTGAGCTCCACTATTCGGACTGCAGCGAGGATGGTACAGAGGGAGAGTAAGGACTTGGGTTCACTTTCACTTGTATATTGCAATTCTCTAGTTCTCTTTCTTTGGGTTCTCTGCAGGTAACTAATGCATGTGCTTATAAGATTGTAGACTCATTCTTTAACTTTTAGGTGAAGGTTGGAGGGAAAGCTGTTAGCACCTTGGGGTTCTTTGCAAATAAATGATAGACTTTAAATCTAAAGTATTGATTTTTCTCAAGCCTGCGTCATTCAGAGCATTTGGAAATGAACTGGAATGAGCATCATGTGCTGCCTAAATCTCAAAGTGTAAATGTAAGTATCTGTTGTGACGATGACTTTGTTGAGGGTGGGAGTAGATTATAGTACTTTTTTCTTACTTTTGCTTTCTGATAGGAATATAACGAGATTCAGGGTTTATATGTTGGAAATAAAAGTGGCAGTGACTGGGAAGAGAATCAAAGTAAAACTGAAGACCAGTGTGCTGGATACCATCCTGAAGAATGTGGAGATGAAGGTGGAAGTGGTTATAGTCCTCCAAGCAAATATGAACAGACTGATTTATACCACCTTCCTGAAAATTTTCGGCCCTATACCAATGGCCAGAAGCAAGAATTTAATAGCCAATCAAGCAAAGTAATTCAATTTTCAGATCCCCCCAGGAATCATTTTCAGGTATTGTGAGAACTTGACTTTGAAGAATTTGTGTATGTATGGGCATGCTTTTGCTTGTCTGTGTGTATTTAAGCAATGGTTAAGATTTATTTTAGGTGCAAAATTTCTGAAAGAACATTTATTCAGGCTCATGCTGAATTATTCATGCTGTTTTATGTTTACAATCTGATGCAATCATGATCTTAGTTTGGGATTTAAATTGGAGGTTTTCTGGAAATAGTTCATTGAACACTAAAGGTTAAGTCTGTCAGAGAATAACCATCCTTTACAGCTGCTTCTGTCTTCATTATGTTCCTGTGAGAAGCTGTGTTTAGGTATCTTGATACAGTTTGAAAGTAACAGGTCTGTGTAGATGACACCATTTAGTTTCCTTGATTTTTGAGCTTACTACCCATATATCAAATTTTAGGGCAAACACTTAGAAGCTAACATTTGGTATTGTGATATCACAGTAAAGACGATATATGTGTAGGAAAGAAACTTTTTTTTTTTTCTTAGGAAAGACACTCTTAATGAAGTAAAACCTTATGGTATAGTTAGTTTCTTTATAGCTTTTCTCAGTGACAACAAAACCTCATTTTGGTGATAACTACTGTGTATCAACCAGTGATAGAATAAGTGATGGTCCTTTTTAGGTGGTCATTTTCACTTAATTCTATCTCTGTGGAATGTTATTCATTCTACAAGTGGTTGAGCATCAAATATGATGCTTTGTATTAAATGTTTTATAATTGAAATATGTGCATTTTTATGTTCCCAAGATGTTGGTGTCATCTAAATCATTGTTAAAATTTTATGTACAATCTAATTGAAATTTTTGAGTGTTATGGAATTGGCCCTAGTGCATGATGGTAAAGTACAGTTAAGATGTGTGAAATTATATATTACAGATGTCTAATTAGCAGTGTTATATGATGAGTTGTATTTTAATGCAAAGATATATGTATTGTAACTACCACAATCAAGTTGTGTGCCAAAATTAAGATAATTTTTGAAGAAAAGTCCAACTCCTAATTATTCATTTCATTTATCATTTTATAATAGCCATTTGGTATATCACAAGGTCCCAGTTGTGAAGCTTTGGAACCGTATAAAGTGACATATAAACCTTATCAATCTTCTGTCCAGAATAATGGCACACCAACCCAAGAGGTAGCAGGAAGTGAAACATTTGAAGGCCTGCAGCAACAATTTTTAGGAGCTAATGGAAGTATGTATTGAGTTTATATTTATATCTTAGTAACATAATGGGAAAATTTTGAACACTTTGGGCTGTGTTCAATAATTATCTTTTAAAATGCGGTAATCGAGTAAAGGTTGGTAATTTTCAAAGAATGCTTACTTTTGTATATATATCCTGAAACATTTATGAATGAGCTGATAAGAAGATAAGAAACCAAAAACTTATTTCAAATAATCCTTTGTTGGGGGCAGTGTTGGGAAGGGATATAGCAAGACTTGCCATGAGCCAATAACTGTTGAGTCAGACCAGTGAGTTTATGAGATTCATTGTGCTCATCTCTCTACCTTTTTAAATATTTGAAATTTCCCATGGTAAAATACTTAAATATTTCTCAATTTTATATCTTAGTCATTCTAATTTGTTAAGACTTTTATTTGTTTCATCTTTTACTTCTCAAAATTTTTGAAATTTATTTATACATACAGGAACTGGGGTTTAGGCCAGAGATGCAGAGGGTGAAGGGAATCACCAGAGACAGATTGGGAAGCAGAACAGGCAGATCTACTGAAATACACTGCTGAGGAGAGCAGTAGGTGAGACAGGAGAAGTCTGTTGCACCATGTGAATCAGCTCCCTGGCCGGGGATTGAACTCAAGCTGCAGTGACTGCTGATAGCTTGATAGTGCTGAGACTTGAGGGTGTGCCAACAGGGAGGCCCTGTTTCATTTTTTTTAAACTGAAATCTAATTTAGAAAATAAAATCGTTTTCACTTCAGCTGTGGACTTTTCATTATATAGAAATGTAACTGATTGACTCAAGCATTATCTTAACTTTTGATTTTTAGAGTTTGGGTGCAGTAATTGAGCAACCCTGATATAAATCACTTCATATTCAGAATTTAAAGTAGGTTTATAGTTCAGCATTAGTCATGTGGTACTTGCCAAGAAGTATTCTTTTGTATAGGAAATGTGTGACATATACTATATGAATGTGAGAGGAGTATCTATTTTGAGATGAAATGTCAAAAATCAAAACTTGTGCTGTGACTAATCTGAATTAGTGTTTTCATATGTCCTGCTTTTATAGTCACTGGCTGGTGAAATAACTTATTTTGTTGTGTATGTTGAAGTGCTTCTATGACTCTTCAGGACAATGGTGAATTTTTTTTTCCACTTAAGAATGAGAGAAAAGTCATCCTGGGTGTTCCAAGTAGCCTAGGCTATGTCAAAGAGAAAAGAGAACTTGGTGCACTCACTGCCTACTGCTGCTTTCCATCATAGGAAAATTATTGGGAGGCCAGATCTTTCTTCTGAAGGAGTCAACAGCAAATATAGGAGTGGCCTCTCTTTGTTCATAAGTTTTTGTGAATGAATTGAGGAAGTAGATGGTGTATGTGGCATAAGTGGTTTTAGGTTGTGTAAATAAGTTTCACAGCTTGACATCTTGGTGTTGAATCTTCATTTCCCATGTTTGGTCACATTTACTTCTCTGGATGCTTCTATAAGCATCTAACTCTTTCTTAATGATCTGCATTATATAGTTCATTTATTTTTTTTTTTGTTTAAGTGAGTTGCACACTTGCCCAAATTTGACACCTTTAAGTTAGTAAAATAACAGTAGTGCTGAATTTAGTGATTATAGCTTCTGAGCAATAGTTTTAAAAAATGAATTTGAAGTGGTAGGGCTAGTCCTGCGCTAAGCCCTGATAGCTTGATTTGTAGCATAATTTATGATCTTCCATTTTGTTTTGTCTTAATCATCTTTTTTTTTAAAGTATAGACTTATTTGTAAACAAGTAGAAAATGAGGAATATGTGTCATCATGTAGCTGAAGCATTATCTTCCTCCTCCCATCCATTTTTTTTCCCTTTTCTTCTCCTGATCACTTCTCTAGCGATCCCTAAAATGACTTTAGTTATTTGTGAAAGAAGACTTTAGAATTATTTGTTAGTCTCTTCATTAATTCATTAAAAAGCAGCTATGGACCAGCATGAATGTAATTACCACTGTTATGAAAAGTATTTTGAGAATGATAGATGTTTCCTTTAGAAATTGTTTTATAGAAGCTGAGGTACCTTTTCAATTTCATGAGCATGTAGAACTCTATTTTTCTATAATTGGTATGTATTTTTAATTAGTCATTGTGATAGTGATTCAGTTATATTTTAAACCAGTGATTCTTCAAAAGCTTTTCTGGAGTGACCATAGTAAGTACATTTTTTTATATGATGACATGGTCTAAATTTATCGATATAAATAAGTATACATAATTGAAACAGGTTTCTCAAGCTCATTTATTTTGTACTGTTTGATATACTGATATAGTGTATTCTAGCTCAATTAAAAAAATGCTTGTCAAAATCTATCAAATTAATTTCATGAGACCCTAGTGAGCAACAATAGTTTAAAAAACAGTAGTAAATAACAATTCTTATGAGTAGTTAAAAAACTCATTTTATGAACGTTTTTTAAAAAATTTTGTATGTTTTTATCACAAATTGTCTTTAATTCCAAAGCAGATTCTTCAGAAAATATGCAGATTATTCAGCTTAAGGTTCTTAACAAAGCAAAAGAGAGACAACTAGACAATTTAGTTGAAAAGTTAAATGAACGTGAACGTCAAATAAGATATCTAAATCACCAACTTCTGATGATCAAAGGTAAGATAACCACCACTGCATATTGTGATTTATGAGTTACATGTGGTATCTTGTTTCCAGTTGCTTCATTTTAAATATGAAGGCTAGAAAATTGACACAGTTGGTTATCGGACTCATCAGAACAAAACAAAACCCAGAACTTTGACACCTTGTTCTGAAACATCCTCATTTTCTCCCTTTTCTTCTTTTTCTTAGGCTACTAGAATCAATGAACATTACTGACAGCATTCCGTCCTAAAAGTTGTTGATTCCTTATGTAGTTTACCTTGGATGAAGTATTCCAGTTCCCAGAAAGACTTGTGTTTAGCTTGTAATACATTTCTGAGCCTAAAAATTAGCATGATGTTTTAATCCAAGTATGAGTTAGTGACCCTGAACTTATTTAGGAGTGCCAGGAGAAATGGTGCCACAGCTGGGAGAAGCACATAGTGTAAATACAGATTCAAATTATTATTGCTTACTCTTCGTGCTTTCTGTCATTTTGGTCAATGTTGGACTTTAATTTGTAGAATAATTTGGGACTGAACTTTAGTTCATTTCAAACTTAATTGATAGTGAAAAGGTCTCTTTCTGTAAAATTTATTTTGAGGAAAGAACTTGTGGACCGTTACAGTAAAGTATGTGGGAAGAGTTTAAGACTGGGTGAATTTAAGCATTCATTGCAAGTATATTTAAGAAGTAGTGAGTCCTCTGATCCTTTCTTTGATTAGCAGGGGTTTGTCACATCTATATAAGTTCTCAAGTACACAAATGTTGAAATTATTGTTAGGAAGTTTTTTTTAGTTCCCAAAAGGATACAATGTAATTGTTGAAGGAAGTGTTTCTGGTTCTCTAAATGTTTTCGCTATTACTTGGGTATTTTTTTTTTCCTTCAATTTCTTTGAAACTACCAAGCCTCATTTGAATTGAATACAACATTTATATGTGATATAGATCTGATAGGTAATAGGGATTGTGGCAACTGGGATTCCTCTATGTATTACTTACATAAACATTTTAATGCCATAGATGAAAAGGATGGTTTGACCCTTAGCCTGCAAGAATCACAGAAACTCTTTCAGAATGGAAAAGAAAGAGAGATTCAACTCGAAGCACAAATAAAAGCACTGGAGACTCAAATACAAGCACTAAAAGTCAATGAAGAACAGGTAAATATTTACCTTGATTATTTATGGTCAAAATTACTTATTACAGTGACAAGTTTGTTTAACAGAACTATTGACATGATAAGATTAAATTTAGAAGAACTTTGAAGTTTAACTCTTCTTCCCCCATAAACCTAGTTTTCCTTCCTTTACCTCAAAGGATTAGTGTTACTTTCCACTTAGTCACCCATAGCAGAAATCTGGATACCTCAGCTCCTTTATTCCTCTGTCCAGGATTTTACCATCATTTATAAAGCCTCTTAATTAGCCTATGTTTTATCCCTTTCTCAAATTCTGTCTTATGCCCATCTAAATAAACTTTTTCAAATATATATGGTTATTGCCATTGCCTTACTTAAAGTCTTTCATGGCCCCATGTTACCTGTGGAAGAAAGTATGGCCATCTGATGACCATTTGATCCTCACCTGTCCGCTTCTCTTTCTCCTTACTGTTTCTTGAGTAGTGTGAGTATGTGCTATCTCATCTGTATGAGGTGCCTGTCTCATTCATTTGATTAATAAGTCCCTGTGCCTGAATTTTCATTTCCTGCATTTCCACTGCTTTTTTTGTCCAGGCAGGAAGGCCACAGCAGTTGTAACAGAAAGAAAGTCAAAGTATGGTAGACTTAGAACATCTGGAAGGCAAGAAGGGGTTGCTCTCATCCTGCTAGCTCCACCACCTAAGCCAGCATCTAGCACATAACAGGTGGTCAGTACATGTTGAGTTTAACATTGATCTAACCCTGATATTTTTTTCTTATGTATTTCTCTATTCTTGTTCTGATACTATCATGACTATAGCTTTCTGATGTATTTTGAAACTGTAAGGCAGGGCTAGACTTAATATTCTTCAATAACTTTGTAGTTCTTTTTAACAATTTCTCTTCTGAATTCTGAGAGTCAATCCATGTTTTGTTTTTCTTTTAAACTGGTTAGTTGTTTAGATGTCTACATAACTCTGGGATTTACATTTTTACTGGTCTCTATGTGCACATGCTTCATTCACCCTACTTAGCCAGTGCCCTATCCTTCCCTGCCACATCTCTCCTTGTTTTGGTAAACAAATCTTGTTGGAATTTTGATTAGCAAGGCATTGTCTTTAACATTTTATAGATGCATTAACTGAGTGTTGGAAAGGTTAAGTTACTTACGCAGGGTTGAAATATGGGCTGTGGACAAAGCAGCAGAACCTAAATTCCCTGACGAAGCTAGACTTGCCTTTAAAATTGCCGCACATTCTTTTGTAAATGAGATACTTATTTCTTTGTTGGGAATAGTCATAAGTCATTGGTAGCCAATCCTGGTGGTGGTGATTCATGAGACTAATGCCATTTTGGAGAGGAGAAAGAGGGAAGTTAGAAATGAAAGTGACTGTAAAATACTGAGCTTGGTTTTAGATGAAATTTGTGCATAGTTCTGAGGATGATTTAATGGAAGAGTTCAAACACTGTTGCCTCAGGTCTGATTCTTGCTCAGTCTTCAACTCTCAGCTAACAAGTTAACCTTTTCAGAGAGAAATTTCCATCTACCTTATAGCTATGGGAGCACATAAACTCTGTATGCCTATTTCTCTTTACCATGCCAAGTCCTACTCTTTTTAATAATTATCTGAAATGATTTCTCTCTTTTATAAACCTGTCATTTCCCATCATTCTGTCTCTCCTCTTCCCCTTCTCCCTCTCTCCCCACCCCTCTCTCTTCCCCCATCACGAAGTAAGAGTTTGGATCTTGTCATTATATCCCTAAGTGCTTAGAACCCTGCCTGGCTTGAAGTATTTGGATTATTTCCTGAACAACAAAAACAGTACTAAAATAAGTCTCACTTATTTTAATTTTAATTTTTATGTATAATGTAGATTAGTAGACTTTTTAACTTTCGAAAGCTGGTAGTTATTATGTTTAAAAAGTTGAATTGCTTTTATGTAGTAAAAAGGGTTATAACTTTGTAATCTTTTTATGAACTAGAAATCACATTCATAGAAAATAAAGTAGCATAAATAAAAAATTTAGAGCCGTAGAATTAGCATGTATATGGCTTTCCTATAGCTGCTGTAACAGATTACTACCAGTTTAGTGTTTTAAGCTACACAGATTTATTACCTCAGAGTTCTGGAGGTCAGAAGCCTGATGTGGATTTCACTGGGCTGAATGCCAAGTGTCCGCAGGGCTGTGTTGTGTTTGGAGACACAGGGGGAGAATCCATTTTCTTGACTTTTCCAACTTCTGTTCCACCTGTGTTACTTGGTTTGTGGCCATTTCTACCTTCTGAGCCAGAAGTCATGGGTCTGCCTTTCTTGCTACAGTTTTCCCATGTAATGACCCTTGTGGGTACTCTGGGCACACCCAGATAATTCTGGATGTTCTCCTTGTAAGGTCATCTGATTAGCAATTTTAATGCAGTCTGCAGTCTTAATGTTCCTTTGGCACATAACATAATGTATTCACGATTTCCGGGACTAGGGCATAGACATTCCTTGGGAGCCATTCTTTGGTTTCTTATGCCATTACTTTGGAACATGTGTACAATTGCAACGTTCAAAACTTTGTTTTCAGTGAATAGCCATTGATGGGTTTCATTAGTTTTTCAAGAAACTGAGTCATTTTTTTAATGACGTAACAATCAGTAGTGCCTCCCCCATCCCCCCAATTCTGCTCACACAGCAATGCAGAGAACACTGGGATCAGTATAGTAGCCCCAGATTCCTTGCCTAATGCCCACATTGCCATCATGCTGCATAAAATCCTCTTTCACACTCCTTCGGTAACTACAGAATTAATGTGCTCAATGAATAACATTCTTAGCCACTGTGGGCTGGAAAAGCTTCAGGAACAAGTGTCACAGTGGGGAAACCCCTTCTTCTCTACTGTCAGTGAAGTATAGTTGATTTTTAGTGTTGAAGATGGCCTCTGAGCATACTGTAAACATGGATCTCTGTGTGTTGTGCTAGATGATTAAGAAGTGCAGGACCACTGAACTGGCTCTGGAAAGTGTGAAGCAACAGCTGCTGGACCTTCATCATTCTGAATCACTTCAGCGTGCCAGAGAGCAGCATGAGAGCATTGTCACTGGCCTCACCAAGAAGTATGAAGAGCAAGTGTTGTCCTTACAAAAGAATTTGGATGGTACAGTCATGGCACTTAAGGAACAGGTTGGGATGATTTCAAATGAGCAACTATTACCAACAAGTAAAGCTGTTTATTTTCACCCTGACACATTGTGGTTCCCCATATAGAAATTTTGGATGTTTGCAATAGGTGTTCAATTGCAAATAATAATTAAAAGCCAAACTTTATATAGATATATATATATATATAAATACATCCTAAAGGTATAATTCTTCCTTTTGTAGAATTGGTTAGTACTTTCTCAATTCTCACATTACTAGTCATTTTTTTTTTAAAGAGTATTTTTACATATTGTTTTTATCACCCTAGAATAAATTCAGACTAAAGGAAATGAGTGTTCTGGGAGCTTAACCAATAGAAAGCCTTTCTTGGGTTGTATTTGGTAATCAAACTCTTAGTTAAAGTGGTCAAGAAATGGTTTTTGTGTAGAGAGTTACTTTTGAGAATTTCAGATTTTCCAGGCTATAATAAAATAGGGAAGAAAGTCTTGTATATAGACATTGAGATTTGAAATTTGAGCATAGTTTAGTTTTTATTATTTTTGCCCCAAGGGGAATAAGATGTTGTGAGCTGACAGCAAGTCAGCTGATAAGTCTGCTTGTCATCCAGACCCTCAGGTGACCATCTGAATGAGTAAAATGTCAGAGTACATTTTTCTTAATGTAATTTCAGAACTAATTTAACACAAGGGGAGAGGAAAAGAGAAATATGATGGGAGAGTGTGGAAAAACCTCCCACTTAAAGTTCATCCTAATTTTGGGTTGTTCTTTCTTATTTATTCAGCTGTGTCTAATTTTTTCCATGATTGAGTAGGACTATAACTGATCATATTATTGGCAATAATAATTGTATACTATTTTACTTTTATGTGTATTTACATATTTATTAGACTTGTTTTCCTACATATAGTTTTATTTTTTATGTAGAAAAATATTGTAAATTTAATCAGGGTGGGAAAGATTGAAGGCTATGCCAAATGATTGAAAAGCCCGGTTTATATAATGCTTAAACAAGCAGAATTTGAGATAGTTTTATTAATTTAGTTGTGGTGGTGTTGTAGTGTTCAAGTATCTCAACTTGGAGAATGATCCTCCTTGGATGATGAGTTAGTAGAGTCTGGTAGCTTTTCCATGCCGCCTTGAGGCTCTCTCTTCTCTGTGGACTTAATTATAATTACATGGCAAGGGCCTACCTGGCTAGTTCCTAGCTCCACATCTGTGCCACCCTATTCTCTATTCTCACTAGCCCCTATTCTCTATTCACACTGCCCTGCTCACTTCAATAGAAGAACCTTAGACTACAACATAGAAGAAAGTCTTGATTCTGTGCTGAGTTGGCTTCTGACTCTAGAACTATAAACTGAAGGTGTTGGTTAAGGTCTTTTCCCATGGTTACATTCTGTGTGATTTATAAGTTGTAAATAGCCTTGATATTAGACTCTCTATACAGTTGCATAACTGCGTTGCAAAATGGCAATTCCAAAGTGTCTATGTCTTTTCATTCTGGGACTGTTTCTTTCTTTCTTTCTTTCTTTTTTTTTTTTTAAGATTTATTTATTTATGCCTACAGAACTGGGGTACAGGCCAGAGGTGCAAGGGTGATGAGAGGACTCACCAGAGACAGAATGAGGCACAGAACAGGCTGACTGATGAAGTACACTGCTAAGGGGAGCAGCGGGCGGGTCAGGAGAGGTCTCAGCGCCATGTGGGTCATGTGGGTCACCTCCAGTGCCGGGATCAAACTCATGCGGAAGTGGCTTTAGCTTCTTAGTGCTGTGCTTTAACCCACTGCGCCACCAGGGAGGGTCCAGGGACTCTTTCTTAATGGACTCCCTTTTGTCTGTTAATTTGCTATCAGTTCTCAACAGTGTCTTTAGTAAGAGGTCAATCTGTATTGTCAGAATCCAAATTGAGTTATCTGACTGGGAAGAAGTAAAAATGAACCAGGAGCGAGGGAGCTACCTGCCCTTAATCAAAAAAATGCGTGACTGTTGACGTAGATATTTAAGTTTTTTTTTAATATAAAAAAGTCATTAAAAAAGTGTAAAATATTTCCTTTCAAATAAACCTTTCCCCTCTACACTCTACTGAACAGATTGCAAAGAAAATTCACACACATTCTTGGAAATAGGAGCACGGCTCAAATAAGATAAAATTGAGCAGATGAGCTAGAATAAATTTGCCAGCATCTAGGAGCTGAGTGGCTCTCCTGCAGCCACACATCTGTGTACCTATGTACATATGCAGTGTTGACAGAGTAGATGTCTGCATGCAGCAAGTTGAGGTTCTCAACTCTGCATGTCCTAAAGCAGTCCATGATGCATCCTCTGAATTTCAGTAAATCCTCTGAAATCCACTTAATTTCAGTGAATCCTCTGAAATTGTGGGTGTGATTTTCTTTTGGGTGTGAGTCAATAAAGTTTTTTGGAAAAGACCTATGAAATCGTTCAAGTTTTCCGAGAAATCCATGCTTCTCCTTGTGCAGAAAGTTGAAACTCACTGCTCAATGAAAAAGTTGTTCTTGGTGGAAACTGTAGGTTAATCATATTACTTCATCTGCTCAACAAACTTCTCTTAAGCAACAGCTAAACATCAGTATGTAAACAGATTACAAACATATTTAATTTCAAAGAGAAAATTCAAACAGCAATTGCTTAATGTACTGGGAGAAGTAACATCTATGGTAGTTTTTTTTTTCTTCAATATTTGTGTAATAACATTTTGAGAACAATATGGTTTATAACATTATATTAATCTAGTGTTTTCTTAAGCCATCCTTGGCCTTCTTTTTCTGGGTAGAAAATATTGTAATGACACACAACATATTAGAAGGGCTTTTACTTTGACTGAGGTCCTTTTGGGTTTTTAGTATGACAGAGAAGATAAGCAACAGGAATTATTCCGCCAATCCACCTTCTACTTCTCTCATGCATAGAAGTGTCCTTTGCTAAGTACTCTGATGAGCCTGATGATATTGTATAAAACCTTTCTTCATTCTTGTCTTCTTGAGATATTTAGCTTTTGGTGGGGCATTGGACTTTGGTTTTGCTATCAAGACTGTATTCTTTTCCTTCCACATTATTTTTAAAGACTCCACTTTAAACACTTTCTTTTGGCCAAGAGATGCCTACAGACCTCTCTGTGTGTGGCCTGTTCCTCATTTTACTGTGCAAATAGAAATGTATTCAGCTCTATTTACTCTTTATCACCACACTTGTACCAGTCAGTGCCTTTGGGCCATCCCTGGTGGTGCAGCATGTTAAAGCACAGCACTAAGATGCTAAAGCCATTTCAGCATGAGTTTGATCCCCACACCAAGGTGATCCACATGACAGCAGGCCTCTCTTGACCTGCCTGCTGCTCCTCTCAGCAGTGCACTTCATCAGTCAGCCTGTTCTGGTCCCCACTCTGTCTCTGGCAAATCCTCTCGCCACCCCGCACCTCTTGCTTGTACCCCAGTTCTGTATGCATAAATAAATAAATCTTTAAAAAATGAAAAAATAAAAAGATATGTGATTTTAATTCATCTTGACTGAGCTAATCATGGCAAAGGTTGGTGAATATAATGTTTTATTGAACTTGTCATTAAGCAATAACATGGCTTGGTTGTTGCATATAGTTAAGTTATTGCTGCAGTCTGCTTTTCTTTTACATTGTTTTTCATATCTGTCTTTTCTTGAACTTTTCTTGTCAGTTCCCAGACTCTTCTAAAGACTTCTGCGACCTCCCCAGCGCAGAACTGTTAGTTCTCTCTCTAATTCTTCTTGCACACACGTTCTCACTGTCATTAATATGAGCTCATTCATTGTGTTTGCACTGTTACTGTGGTGCTTCAGAACCATGCTTGTCAAGCTGGCTTGGAAATTAGCAGGAGGATGCCAAGAGGTTTGCTGTGTTGAATAAACATGCATTTGTTTCCAGAAGCTTCGTTTTGCTCAAAATTTGGTAGAAAAAAATTTAAAGCAAACATAACTGCATTATGCAATAGAAAACAAAATTCACATGAGCTTTTAAGCTAAAATAGACCTCAGAGCCCTTTCATCTGCATAAGGAAACATCTATGTTAGTCCCCTTTTGAGAACTACCTAGTGTTACTAGCATGAATACCTTGTCGGGCTTCAGGTGGTCCTACAGAGCTGGCACCAAACACCTTTTCTCTGTTTCAAGGCCTTTTCAGAGCCTTTTCTTGATACTCCTTTTACAATAGAGACTTATTTTATTGTGGCTTTTCCAGCCAACTTTAACCAGTTACCTTAATTTACTTCTCTTTCATGTCCTGCTGTTTGTCTGGGATTCAGTCTGTGTGTGTATCTTTTTTGAATGAGAGGTGATGGTTTGTTTCTTCTACTGGGACTTGGAGCCCCATGGGTCATCACTCCACACATTTTTTTCTTAACGAAACTTGAATATATTGTACACAAAATCTCAATTTTCTATATATCCCTACCTGTTACCCATGTGCACACATATGGCCTACACAGTTTTGTCATTTATTTTCCAGTGTTTCTTTGTAGCACTCAGTATGTATAAGGTAGTGTGTAGGCACCTTCAAAGAGGCTATTAAGAGCAATAAGACATGTAAAAAGCAACAAGAAAAGCACAACAGAGAAACAGGTTAAGTTTCAGAGCTGCTTAGAAGAGGGGGAGCTTAATTTTGGCTGCTCAGAGTAGTAGGAACTTTGGCTCTTCGGAATAGTCAGTTTCCTTGGTTTACCTGTTTTATTGCTATCTTGGGATAAAAATTCCACAATTCAAGAGGCCTGCCTAAGTATGGATACATACATTTATACTGACAGTGTGTGATGCAAATTGGAATGTAATATACTTCCTTTGGCTTGAATAAAATCTAATTTTAGAATATGAAGGTCTAGAATATAGAGCAGAAAGGACCTTAGAAATATGTTCAAATGTAACCTTTGTTAGTATAATTACAAAAGAAGTTGATGACTTACTCAAAACTATGTATGTTAGTTCTCCTGACTCTCCATCCTGTGCAACAACCTGAAAAAAGAGTTGGCTTTACCCTCTGACTATTCTGTATATGACTTAAAATATAATTTTTTTTTTTTTAAGGTTTATTTATTTATTCATACAGAACTGGGGTATAGGCCAGAGATGCGGAGGGTGAGAGAATTCACCAGAGACAGAGTGGAGTGCAGAACAGGCAGATCAACGAGGTACACTGCTGAGGGG